CATGGAGTTTTCTTGGCAAAGATACTGGAGTGGCTTGCCAGTTCCTGCTCCAGGTGAATCACATTTTAGTCAGAACTCTCCACTATGACCTGTTTGTTTTGGGTGTCCCTGCACGGCATAGCCCACAGCTTCTCTGAATTACTCAATCCCCTTCACCGACAAGGCAGCAATCCATGAAGGGGCAAGCTGGTAGAGCTTCACAAAGGGGAGCTGAAGGAGGACTCAGCTGCCAGGAACCATGGATCCAAGACCAGCATCTTGCCCTTATAAGACTAGGCATAGGAAGAAAACACTAGGCGCCTCACTGAAGCTGGGGTGCTGCTGGATCCTCTGAACAGCAGAAGGGAGTCTAAGTAGCACCTGGAAATGTTACTTCTTTGCAGAATCTCTCAGCCAGCACAGACTCATAGCCATGCTGGCTGGAGGATTCTGGGAGTGGTAATCTGAAATTTCAAGTTGGCTCACTATCTTTGTGTATCTCCCACGTAATGTCTTTCTTTGCTGCGGAGTGATGGCAGAAAGGGGAGCTGGGATAGGGCGTCAGGTCAGGCAAAAGGGGGCAATGTGCACAGGCTGCTTCCAGAGCAGTATGAGGATGCATACCATTGCCGGGAAACAACCGTTTGCTGATGGCGTCAGGATGTAGATGTAGGGCACTGCTAACAAGTCTGATTGGCTTTTGTGCAATTACTGTTGAGAATATGTATGTGTCTATTGTTAGGTCAGAATTTGCTGTTCATTTCGCCATTGTCATGAGGCAGTGAGTTCCACAAAGCAAAAACCTCAGCCAAGTCAGCATGATGTAACAAAACTTTGTTCTGTTGTATCTTTAGTCTCATTTACTTGACTGGTTTCTGTGATTGTTAAGAAAGATAATAACTCATTACGTTCTTTTCCCTGCCCTTTCCGTACAAGAAACATTTATAGCGATGAATACATTTTCCTTCCTATCCACTGAAAGGGTATTTTTGGACCAACAGGTCTTTCAAGTCCAGCGTTGCCCTTACCCAAGATGGCGCCCACCGTTTTACCCCACCCAGAGACAATGGAGCGCTCCCTTATCAATCATGGCGACAAGAACTTCGGAAAGGCGGATTCGCAAAAGAAAACGAGGCCGCCTCAAAATGGCGTCTGCCGCGCATTTACGTATACGCGCCGCGCTTGTTTGCCCTCACTCAACATGGCGGCCAGAATCTATATAGGAGCTGGACCATGACGCTTTCCTGAGTCACAGTGACAAACCCTTACCCAAAATGGCGCTGGCCAGTCTGCTGGAGCCTCAGCAGCTCGTGAATGAGTCTGGGTACTTCGGTTGGGGGGCCGGTAGCGAGTTTCGGCTCCCGGCGCTCGGCCCTTGCGGCGGAGGGGCGAAGGCGGCGGGGATGCCGCTGGCTTTGGCCGCCCCTTCTCCCTGCCTGAGCCAGGGCGGCGAGGCGAAGAAGCCCGAAATTGAGCTCCAGCATGGCACCACTACTTTGGCCTTCAAGGTGGGCGGACGGGAGGGTGCTTATTCTGCGGAGGGGGGCAGGAAGGGGGTAGACTTGAGGGGCGCTGGAGGCTTTGCGGCTCGGAGCGGGCCGTTTCTGGGGGCGCCGAAGGAATTTGGGATGCGATCTAGGCCTGCAAACCGGCCGATCCAGATCGAGGGGGAAGGGAGGGTTAGGTGGCGTGGAAAGGATGGAGGATAGTCTGGGAAAGGGGGAGTTTAGATTTATCAGCAAAACAGGCATGGCAACTTTCCCTGATGCTCGGGTAGGTTTGGAAGGATACGGGCAGCACTTTGGGAAAATTATATATTTTTTTGACTACAGAATCTCTGCCTGGCTAAGAGAGAGAGTCTGGGAGTTGTAGCTGAAAAAAACAAACACCAAATTGTCCAGTTTTTGCGTTTGGGTGGAGTGTGTCTGGGAAGCACAGAGCTTCATTTGGGGCAGTTGACTGGAAGGTATGAAAAGGACAAGCTTTGGGTAAATTGAGAAGGTAAACAATTTATGGGTCCTAATCAAGTGCTAGCAGTTATGGTGACGGTTGTGTAACTTGAAGGAGTCATTTGATCACCTGAGTTCTTAGGAAGAGCGTTGAAACTAACTTTCTTCCAGTTCCGCCCCTTTGTGGGCTCCTTAGGGGCCAAGTTTCACAAACCTCGGTGCACTTTGAGGTAGGTTACCTTGGCGGAAGAGAGAGAGAAGCAGGCTGTTTTGGCATCTGCTTTGTTAAATTGTTTTCCTGTCTTAGAATCGCATCTTAGCACCTGGATCAGGTGAGAGGAACTCCCTTGAGGTGGCACCTGTTGTGAGCAGAGGCAGTGGTGGTTTGGCTTACAACACTCCCTATTGTGGGCATCTTCTGTGGGCGATTCCTGATCTCAGTGTTTCTTTGCTTCTTCTTTTTTCCCCCCCTCCAGTTTGAGCATGGTGTGATTGTAGCTGTCGATTCGCGGGCAACGGCAGGCGTTTACATCGCTTCACAGACGGTCAAGAAGGTCATTGAAATCAACCCTTACCTGCTGGGCACCATGGCTGGTGGTGCAGCCGACTGCAGCTTCTGGGAGCGGCTGCTGGCAAGACAGTGTCGCATCTATGAACTCCGCAACAAGGAGAGGATCTCAGTGGCTGCTGCCTCCAAGCTCTTGGCCAACATGGTGTATCAGTATAAGGGCATGGGGCTCTCCATGGGTACCATGATCTGTGGCTGGGACAAGCGAGGGCCAGGTGAGGATGCCTCGTGTTTTCCCAAGGGCTTTCAGAAGGCGTAGCTCCCCTGTCTGTCATGCCAACCCACTCGATCCTCACCAGATTTAAGCTCTGCGTATTTTTAGATGTTAGACTCTACCTGATCTCTGAACAGTACTAGTCAGCTTCTAAAATGTTGGTAGCTTAACAATGAAAGTCAGCCTTCCAACTTAGACTTTGTCATCAAACAAAAAAACAGTATCTCTAAACAACAATGGAGCAGCCGGCTGAAATATTAAATAGAGACTGATTAAAAGAGCAAATTGATTTCCTTTAAAGGAAGGCCTTTGTCAGCTTTCAGAAAATTAGTAATACTACAAGTGAGAAGGATCTTGGAATTGTTGTAGATCGCAATATGAATATGAGCCAACAGTGCAATGTGGTTGGAAAAAAAGGTACATGCTATTTTAGGATGCATTAACAGAAGTATAGTCTCCAAAATCTGTGAGGTACTAATTCCCCCTCTATTCAGCACTGGTCAGGCCTTATCCAGAGCACTGTGTCATAAAGACACTGTACCTTAAGAAGGGTAAGTTCAGAGGAGGGCAACAAGGATGATCAGGGGACTGGAAGCCAAGTCCTAGGAGGAAAGACTGAAAGAACTGGGCATGTTTAGCCTTGAGAAAAGAAGACTGAGGGGAGACAGGGTAGCAATTTTCAAATACTGAAAAGGCAGTCATACAAAGGAGGGACTGGGCCTGTTCTCCATCATCCCAGATTGCAGGACATGTCATAATGGGCTCAAGCGACAGGAAGCCAGATTTAAGCTGAATATCAGGAAAAACTTCTTAACTGTTAGAGTTAAGAAAATGGAGCCAATTGCCTTGGGAGGTGATGAGCGCTCCAGCAATAGTGGCATTCCAGAGAAATTTGGATGCCCATCTGTTGAGATCTGCATTGATTTGGATTCCTGCCTTGAGCGGTTGAACTTGATGGCCTTATAGGCCCCCTTCCAACTCAATTACTATTTGATTAATGATGCAAGGTGACATACCTGCCTTGAAAAGCAGTTTAAGAGCCTAGGCACAACTTGCTTTGATGCCTTAGCATTGTCTTGACAGCACTGAAATCCTTGGCATAATTTTTACACGTGCTTATTGTGGGAAATATTCTGCAGGTGATGATAAACTGTTCCATAAAAATCATGGTTGCACATCATTTTTTGCCTGGCAGTGAGGAGTCCTATGGGGACTCACTATCCCTTCCTACCTTCTGTCTTTGTTTGAGATTCCCTTTCCAGAAACCTCCAGCTGTGCAGTTAAATTTCTCCTTCCAGTCACACAGACCCCAGGTCATGTAAAATATTCTAAGATTCCCTGGTTTTTTAAAACTGAATTCTGTTTTCTGGGGTCACATTTCAACCCTGGGAAATGAGCATACTTGGCTTCCAAATTCTGCCACCAGGCCTGTGCTTCTGTGACCGTATTTGATTCCTGGTCTTTTCCCACTTGCTTTTACTGCAAAGTAATTTCTTACAATAGGGCCTGTGGTATGTGAATCCACCTCTCTTTAATACATTTTTGTTGATTGATTATCCACAAACGCTGGTCTGAATGCGGTTTTGTTGTTTTCTTAGAAACACTGGCTTGTACAAACCGTGGCTTGTTGTGATATCTGAACCTCAGTTGTCCCTGGTTTGTTTCCAGGATGGCCTGTCCTTGGCTTGTTTTCTTGTCTGTTCACCTAAAAACAGACTGAGAACTGAGAAAGGGGTAAGAGAGGAACAAGAAAGGGAGAAGATAAGTCTTTCATCTCGTTCTCTGTTCTGCAATTCTTGGCTGAAGCACAACCCATATTTAACACAAGCCATGGCTTATTGTGATGTGTAAACTTGCCCAGTATCCACTTCTTTTCTCTATAACTTGCATCCCTCCTCGATAAAACTTAGTGTCACAAGTCTATGTACCAATAAGGATGATGTTTATTTTCTAGAACATATAGAGCTTTCTTCCACCATGAAACTCATGGCAATGACAATAAAGTTCCTGGGGGGGGGAGGACTCCTGTGCAGGCCCTGAGCAGACCAAGAGCTTCTTAGCTCCTGCTATAGATTGCTGCCTGATATAATTTAGACCAGAGGTTCCCAACTTCAGGTAATCCAGGTATTCTTGGTACTGCAACTCCCAGAAATCCTAGCCAGCACAGCTAGTCGTGAAGGCTTCTGGGAATTGCAGTCCAAGAATACCTGCATTACCCAAAGGTGGGAACTACTGATTTAGACTATGTCCTTGTTGTGCAGAGGATGTTTCTAGAAGTAAATGAGGCAGTGCCTCTAAACATGTGATGATAATTACCACTTCTGCTTTGGCACAACAGCTGCCATGTCTACCTATGCTGATTCTGCTAGCTTCTCTGATCTAGTATTGATCAGTAGGAGAAGAAACATTCTCCATATAGATAGTGGGTGCCCCCTGGTTGGCTATCTAGAAGGGTTTTGGTCATTCTGCTACACGAGATCAAGGGTGGGCAACCTGCCAAGGCCTGGAGGGAGCACATGCTTATTCCTGGACCTCGGAGGGTTGCATCTTTTCCCCAATACCCCCACCCATTTGTCTTACAAAAACAAGGATTTGTAACTGAAAAAGCTCTCTAGCTTCTTCTAGTGTGCTTTTTTAAAAAAAATTAGGGTGTTGATTGAGTTCTCAAAGCATGGCAGAAACCACTCGCTGTACCCCTTAGGAGCAAAGGGAATTTTTGACACCTCCCCATTTTAAAGAACGGTGAGGAGCACATACAAATCCCTGGAGTGTTTCATGCAGACTGGAAGAAACATGTTGGCCACCTCTGCTAATAGTCATTATGTTGCACTTAAGCCCTGTTCATGCATTATAGAGTGAAACTGTGCAGGATTTTTAAGTGTGGCAGTGATCTAGGGCCATCACCTCCCCCAACCTTACTCCCAGAAATTATTCAGATCTTTGCATATCTGGCAAATGCCACTCATGTGATTGGCAACTGTGTCACTGAGTGAACATGCTCTCATGTATCTCTGCAGACTCCCCTGCTGAATGTGTGAAAGTCGGGGCGATGTCCACGGACGAAGGGACTTGGTGCATAGGACTTTTCTGCTCCCTATCTTGCTCAAAGCCCTGAAGGTCTCAGGCCTCAATAGGGTTTTTGTGTAATACCACACAGTGGCAAGGCACTTCTTCAGTGGTTAATGCGACCAGTCCTTCCCACAGTTTCTGTTGCATAAACAGATCATTGGGTTGGTTATCTGAGGAAGATGCCATAGAATTTGCATTCTGTTGCAGAGGATTATTGCACCGTCTTAAATACCCAAACCATGGACTGTATTTAAGAGACTTTGCATCTAGCTGAATGCGTTTTGAGACTTGGGATATAGAGCTGATGCATCTTCTTGTTTACCTTTATTCCTCTTGACATTACTATCTTCTTCCACCCTCTTCAGCACGCCTGTCCTTTTATTTCTTCAAACTGTATTCTCAACGCCCGCCCTCCTCTCCTTGAATTCCAGATCTCATACATTATATATGCAGTATAATCTCTCCCCCTCTTCCTCTAAATCTGAGCCTCCGATTTCAGAAATCCATATTTGCTGTCTCTTTTAACATTTCCCAAGTGTTTCTCTCTCTCTCTCCCCCCCCTTCTGCTGTTGTCCCTTGAGCTCTTAAAAGCAAGCTCTCTTGAATACCTTTTTTGCCTTTGTATAGGATTTCAAGATTTGGAGCTGTGTGCCGCGGCTATTTTTGTAGAAAGAAAAACGTTCATTGTTCTGATGGTTATGGTGTGTGAGCATGATAGAAGGGCAGAAGGCCAGAAAACAGTGATTACGGAGGATCAGTCCTCTTGGGTTCTGTCAACCGTTCTGGAAGATTGATTGCTTCAGGGACAAAGACACCTGGACCTCTTTCCAAATTCAAGCTAGGATTTGGTACAATCTGTGTAACCGAAGCTCTGTAGAAACAAGCCCCAGCAGTCCCAGATGCCAGATTCCCTGCTATTGCTGGAAATTCATATATTGAGGCACTTCTGCCATATTGGAATTGTGTTGAGAAAGTTGTGCTTAGAGTAGACCATTAGGTGACACTCAGTGGACTTGAATGTATCTTATAGGGCCACCTATTCAAAGGTGTGGTGTGATACAATGCTGGACAGCTCAGTGAGTTGGGCATCTGAAGTCAGAGGCTGGGAATTTGATTTTCCACCGGACCTCCTGGGAAAAGAGCCAGCCTAAGTGGCCTTGGGCAAGCGCCACAGCCCCAGGGTGCCTCCCACAAAAAAGGAATCGCAAACCACTTCTGAGTCCTCTCTAACTAGAAAACCCTGAAAATGGTTGCCATAAGTCAGAAGTGACATGATAGCATGAAGTATCAAGAAAACCCTGAAAATGGTTGCCATAAGTCCGAACTGACTTGATAGCATGAAGTATCGTAGTGGTAGAAATATCCTGACCCTGTTTCTTCTCAGTTGGGAAGGGTGAAGGGCAAAAATTGTTATTATTGGAACAATTCCCAGTAACTCAAAAACTTCTCTTTCAGGCCTCTACTATGTAGACAGTGAAGGAAATCGCATCTCGGGCACAGTTTTCTCTGTGGGCTCCGGTTCTGTCTACGCCTATGGGGTAATGGACCGTGGGTACTCCCATAATCTCTCCGTGGAGGAAGCCTACGATCTGGCCCGCCGTGCCATCTACCAAGCAACCTACCGTGATGCCTACTCAGGGGGCACCGTCAACCTTTACCACGTGCGCCAAGATGGCTGGATCCGTGTCTCCAGTGATGATGTCTCCAAGCTGCATGAAATGTTCCGTGACAAACCCATAGAGACAGTGGCTTAACCGGATGGATTTTGGGGTGGGGTGGGGAAGGGCAGCCTTGAACTTGAGTCTTATCGGTCTGACTAGCCAGAGAGAGGTCACGGAAATCTAAAGAGATGGGATTGTAGGTCAGCCGTAAGGCAGATGGAGAAGGCTTGACCAGTACGACGGTGGAAGGGTTGGCCCGCAGGAGTGAGGGGATATTTGTCTCGTGCCCGTGATGCATGTAATAAAAAAAAATGTTTTGGTTCTGAATTAAACTTCTACTCTCTGAACAGTTCTGTGTCCTCGGTTGAAGAAGCAGAGTGAGCCAGAGAAATCTTGGCTGATGCATTATCATCAGAAGTGTACTGTTGGCTTTGGACCCTTGCCAAGAGAGACGGACCCTGGAGAGGAAAACACACTGGCAGGCTGTGTGGGTGTGAATGATTGGGCATAGGAGCTTGGGAGATAAATGTCTCTTGAAAGTTTGTTTCCAAAAAAGAAGCAGCAGAAGGTCAGCTATTCCCACAGGCTCCAGAGTGAACACATCTGTGGTAATGAAGGATGAGGGGGGGGGGTTGGGTTTGGTCAAATGATTCGTGAATGGTTTCTTCCTCTCTCTGACAAATGTCACTTTTCTGGATAGCCTATTCTCCATCTCCTCTCAACACACATTTAATAAGACAAATAGTTTGACAGGGATTCCCTCTTGTGTTCACAAAAGTACTGTACATGCGGGTATTAACCCATTCTGGCCCCCTCACCGTGTGGACTTCTCCAAAGTACCATAGTTTTATGCACTGTTGCATTCTTTGATTCCCACCCAGCTGATGCAAAGACTATGTGTGCAGCGTATGGAACCTAATGTGAATGGAAAAGGTTATTGCAAGCTTCAGGGCAGCTGGAATGGAAGGAACCAGGCGGGCCAAGATGGAGGTGTTGTTTCATAGAAAGAAGGGCAATCCTGGATAAGTGCATTTTCTTCCCTCTGATCTGTCCTCTGTGCTTAGTAATGCGGGTGGCAGGGGTAATGGAAAGAAATTTTTTAAAGGGTGGGATTAAATGTGTAGAGATGCCCCATCCCCAGCCATGAAGGAAAGGGAAAGTTTGCCAGAAAAAACCAACAGAAACAGGGCAAAAAGGGGAAAGCTTTGTGTTCACATATACGCATGGCACAAACCTTTAGTGTGTATGAACCACGTTGGGTGGAAATCGCACCAGAAGGAATGGAAAGGTTAGGAGGTTTTGCGTGAAGCATCTAGAAAAACAGGAGAAACAAAAATCATGAATGTTTAAGCAAAGGGTGACCAGGATCAAAGGATGGATGGACTGGAGCCGTGGCAGGGAGAGAAAGAATATACCAAGTGGCCTGATTGTACATGTCTAGGAGGGAGGAAAACGGGCAGTGCCCAGCTGCTCTCTCCGTGTCCCCTGCTGGGGCCCTGCTCAGGAATGCGTGTGCAGCTTTGGTGTGTGTTTGTGTGCGTGCAGGAGATTGGCCAATCAGGGCAGAAGGGGGGGAGCACGGGGGGGAGGTGTGGCGGCTGGCAGCAGGGTGCACATCCTCCCCTTTTTGCACACACACGAATACAAAGAACTGCACGACCTTCCAGTATCCTTTTCCCAAGGATGTGGGGTAGGGGAGTGGGGATGGCATGGAGGGTGTAGGGGTGGTGGTGGGGAGCTGGGAAAGACAAAAAGGAGGGGTTGGAAGGACCCCAAGCGGCCCTGGTTTATTTGGCCTTGCCAGGGAAATATACCGACAGGTTGGAGGGTGGTACGTGACAGAACGAGGGAGGGAAGAAGCAGGAGAGTGGGACGTACTTGGCAGGAAAGATGTATGCACATGCCGGCTTGAAGTGGCGATGTGGGTTTGTGCGCATGGCGATAGTGAGGGGAGAAAGGCACAGAGAGGTGTACATGGTGCAAGTGTGCAAAGGTGTGGGGCGTTTGGAGCCCTCCAGATCCCACTGATGGAGCTGTTCCTCCAAACATTTGAATTGTTCCACGGGGCTTTTATGAAGCGGGAGAAAACCGCCTTGTGTTTTACTGGGCCAGGAAACGAAGATTCTAATCAGAATTAGCGGTGGCGGCGAATAATAATTGGGAGTCATTCCAGGTTGCTTATTCTGGTGTGAAATGATGCGATGATCTCTTTGTGATGGTATGAAGGTGGACAGGCTGTTTGGAGGAAAACGTGCAAAAAAAAATATGAGCAAGGAGTTGAGGGTATGAATATGTCAAGTAGGCGTACACAGGGTGTGTTGACATGCCGAGGCTTGTAGAGGTGTAGTGTGAGGATTTGCGTGGGACGTTTAATCAAGTGTACCGCCTCTTGTCTCCATTTAATCTTGCTTTTGTTTGTACAAGACGATGGCAGAGACTTACAGGGGCTTACTTGATATCATGTGGGGTGGCATCTGCATTAATACGCATTAATCATTCTTTTGTTCACATAACCAGGAGGGCTAAAACAAAAAAAGCCTCAGAATGGTGGGTTTCTTTTGCCCTGCTTTTCTCATCTGTCTTAGTAAGCAGAAGTGAGTAGGAATGATAGTAGCCAATCTGGATATAAGTTAGCCCAGCCATAAAGAAAGCTATTAGAAGCCCAGATCACTTAAAGGGTAATAAGATTTGCATAGCCATGGTGTGCAGACCTTTGGACTAATAAACTGGAAGATCTGTAATATTGGGGCTGTGGGGTCTAGTATAAGGCATTTCAGAAACAAGGGGAGGCCTGTAATTTATTTATTTTTTTGAAGCACAATAGCTGAATGATAAATGAACAGTTTTAAGAAAAGCAATAAATGAATGTGGGTTGCTGAGTTTCAGAAGAATAGCTGAGTTTTGTTGCAGCAAAACCATCAGGGGGTTGCGGCATCTTAAAGGCAAACACATTTATCACGAGATCCGCTCTGTTCCATTCAAGGCCATTTTGTCACGTTGCAAGAGGTGTTATCCGTGTACACGCGTTTCCTGGTACCTGAAATTCTGGGTAACCCTTGGCACTGCCGGCATGTAATGAAGCGGACTGAACCAGTCCACCCTACTTTGTGCCATTTTTGTTGTAGTTGCCTTTAAAAAAAAATTGTTTTGGCCTGATCAGGATGGCAGACTCACATCGCAGCGACCTCTTCTAAAACTACAAGCTGGTGTCCTCCCAAGACCGTTGTGAAGGCCTTTAGGTTTCACAAAGATGTTTTTTTTAGGGGGCAAATTCGTGTGGGGAAATTGTAGCCAAAGGCAAGGCGCTATCCTTTTGAAGATGGACTTGACACCTTTAGTAGTCTCTGAAAATAAGGGGTGGAATATGTTCTGAGGACCCTGGTCTTGTCTGACCTTCAGCTAAGGGCAGCCATTGGCCTTGGGGGGCGTCTTGGGGTGACCTTGGCCCTGGTCAGCCATTTTGAAGCATCCTGACAGAACTTCTCCTGGAGGGCAACGTGGTTTTTTTTTTTTTTTAATTATTAGGGTGATGTGCTAATGGTTGACATTTCACCAGCGTTTTATAATCATTTCAGATGTGGTTTTTTTTAATTATTTATTTTTTAAAAACACGATTTGGTCATGACATTCTGTCCAGACAGCCACTTGAGTGGGGGGGGGGACTTATTCTGTTTGAACCGGCGGAGGCCTTCATATCATGGACTGTCTTTAGAGGCGAGGTCGTGAAAAGGAAAAAACCTTTTCGCCTCGCCTGCTCGGCAAAGGCGGCCATGAAAAAGCTCCCGGCCTCACAGAGCTCCTCAAAGAGCCCCCTTCTCCGCCTGGGTTCTTTTTTACCCCTCCCTTTCGCCTCATCCTCGGGCGGGGCGGGAGGGCGAAGGCTCCACAGCGGACGACCAATCGGCTGCCCCCGGCCCCTCGGCGTGAGCCAAGCGGAGCGCGAGAAAAGAGGCGCGGAGGGGGGGGCGCGCGCAGGATTCGAATCTGTCGCCGCTCCCGCCCAGAGCGCGAGGCGAGCCAATCCCGGGCGTATTTCCCTCCCTGGGCGCGCGGGATTTAAATAATGCAAAAGCAAGACGTGCCTTTCCCTTCTTTTGCAACCAAAGAGGGAGGGAGGGAAACAAGGCGTCTCTAATAAATGCCAAGGAGAGCGGATTGCAAGCACTCCCCTTCCTTGGGTAGCCTGCCTTTACTGCAGCCTCCGTCTCTACCACGACCAGGGCCAAGTGGTGGAGGGGCTAGAACAGCTTTGCTTCGGGGGATGCTGTTTGCGGAAGACGTGCTCTGCCAGACCCCAGCATGCATGTTTTTTTTTTCCAAAGCCAAACTTCTTTGCAAAGGCTCAGTTCCCTTGCCAGTTTCGACTTAGGGTGCAAAAAGCTTTGATTTTTTTTTCAAGGATTCTCCTTCCACTGCAAATTTAAGCCAGCTTTCCAAAACTGGAGCCACACTAGGCCAGAGCTGAGTTCACTGAAGAGACTAGTTCTAGCAAGAGAGTTTGAGGATGGTTGTTGTGGGTAGGAACTCTGTCCGTGCTCTGTTGCAGTTTGTTGGATAGCTGAGTATTCCTACTCCAGTCCTCTGAAGATGCCGGCCACAGAGACTGGCGAAATGTCAGGAAGAACAACCTTCAGAACATGGCCAAAGAGCCTGAAAAACCCACAACAACCATCAGATCCCGGCTGTGAAAGTGAGAATACAGAGTTTGAGGAGCTGGAGAGGACCTCCAAACAGGGTGAGGGGCCTCTTGCTGCCGTGAAAGCCTTCGAGAATACAGAGTTTGAGGAACTGGAGAGGGCCTCCAAATGGGGTGCAAGCAAAGAAAAGGCACTATTCAATTCTGCCTTTGTTGATTTTTATCAAAGTGGGTCAGGACAAAGGTAGAAGCAGGGAAGCAGAGAGAGGCCTATGTTTCAGAGTTCGCACTCTGAAGGTAGCTCCAGCTGGTGGTAAAGCCTGACGGGAGCTACCATCTATCTAACATCTGGAGGGTCAGGAGGTCTTCCTTCCTCACTTGGAGTCAGATTCGAAAGAGCCCAGCTGTGACTTGATACAGATTCGAGTGTACAGGGAGAGCAAGATACCGACAGGATGCTTGACCTTAAGCGGAGAGCGCGCATTTGATGTCAGAATGCATGCGAGTGGGTATCAAGTGAGTTGCCCTACTTCTGGCTTCAGCTTCCACATGAGTTGCAGAGGACTGGGACAGAATTATATACCCAGCAGGAGCCTAAATGGAAGAAACCGGGATGTTCAGAGAGAGAGAGAGAGAGACTTGTTCAGATCCTTCCCGACACAACTGCTCCTTAGTATATGGTACTGTATATAAAATAATAATTAATAAAGGTTCACACACACACACACTTTTATTTTCCTTAAAATCTTGTGACCTCTGCAGACGTCTACTTTTTTGCATTACCAGCTCCGGAGTTGGTCTTGCCTTCTCTTAAGACTACGGGCTTTTGAAAGCCCTCCTCAGTTCCTGCGCCATCATGTCGTTCAGCGCCACCATCTTGTTCTCGCCCCCCAAGGACGCAAAACGTTGCTGCTGTACCTGCAAACAAGAGCCGGGGACTCCGACGGCCGCCCCTCCGCCCCCGTCCCCGCCAGGCACCCCTATCACGGTGACCGGGACTGGGCTGGCGGTCCAGTCTTCGGACCAGCTCCTCCACGTCATCTACCAACGGGTGGAAAAGGCCGTCGGTCTCGCGGAGGTGGCCCTGAGCCTGGCTAAGGCGAACAACGAAGCCCTGAAGCGGCTGGAAGAGGAAATGGGAGCCTTGCGCCGGGGGGTACCTGCGGCCCTCAAAGGCAGCCCCCCGTGCGTCTCTGAGGAGTGTCAACAAAACCATGACTTGGAAGAGGACGAAGAGCCAGAGGCTGAAGGCCTCAGAAATGGCGTCCAGGTGGTCATTGAAGAGCTGAGGCAGCTGGGAGCCGCCACCGGGTCAGGACCACCCCCGGGACGCCTGAGTTTCTCGCCCGGGCTGCTGGAATCTGGAGGTCCTGGTGGGGTGTGTAGGTCAAGGATTTCTTGCCCCATCCCACCCCACACACTACAGACGGTCTCCGTGTCCCTCCGGTCAGGCACAGATGGCATCATGAATTTTTGATGGCCTCTCTCGCCTTCTCTGCCAAGAACCTGCTCCGGAGAGAGGCATTCTGGGAGTCGCGCCAAGCTCTCTTCTGCTGTGGTGCCCTGGGGTCGAGGGGGTACGGCGAGAGCAGAAGCGTGCCCGCCGGTGTAAGCGTGACACCGGAGTCCGCTCCGAGCGGCTTCTGGGCGTTAAGGGTATTGGCAGAGTCGAGAGTGGGAGAAATCCTAGCGGGTCGTCCTCGAATGGTTTCAGGGACCATATACAAAGCTCCCTTTCAGCCTCTGGTGCTCTTTGAGCCAGGCAGAGAGAGAGAGAGAGAGAAAGGATTTAAAAACCAAATCCATTGCCTAGCCGTTGGAGGTTTTACATTTGTGACACAGAACAATTTCATAAAAAAAAACAAGAACAACAAACCAGGATTTTCCACCTGCCTCTCCTTTTTGTAAAGGTACTTAGGATGGTTACAGCAACTTCATGAAAAGAGTAACCCAGCAGAGACAAAATGGAAGTCTCTGTGCAGAAAAAAAATGGGAGGGGGGCTACCGGTTGAAGCAGAGCTGTAGGACTAGAAAGAGGGATTGTTTGTTTATTGAATGTATTTATATCCCACCTTTCTCCTTTAAAATAAAGCCCAAGGCAACAAGAACCACAGCATCTGGTCTCAATCATCATGATCAGAATCTTAGAACTGTAGAGCTGGAAGGGGTCCTGTGAGATCATCTAGTCCAGCCCCTGTCAAGGAGACACACAGTGGGGGAATCAAACATCCAAACTCGATGGCTCCACAGCCACGGAGCTACCCAGCAGTTACAAGTTTTTATTCTCTCCTCAGGCATCAGAAGAATCCCAGACAGTAGATGACTCCATACAACGGGTTTACGCCACGCCTTCATCTCCTGCCCCCCAGATCCCTCCCCAGGCTGCTCTGCCATCCCTGGATGATCCCCTCTCCTGCCCAGAGGTCTCTCCGAACAGCACCACCCTGGAGGATTCTATACATGGGGAGCCCCGTTTCTCTTTGGGCTTTGCCAGCCTTCCTTGTCGGAGCCGAAGTAGTGGGCAGAAGAACGCCAGGCGCAAGAGGGACCTGGTCCTTTCAGTGAGTGGCCCTTGTATCCATTCCTTTCTTGCAGAGAACTTGGCATACAGCCAGTAAGCTCAGGCACTGCAAAGCTTGTTTTAATTAACTACCAAGGACAAGCTGCTCTGTCTTAATAGCTTGGCATTTGTAGAGTTACCCTCAAGCCTCATATCTTTATCTCGGTTCTTTTTCCCACCTAGAAACTGGTCCATAACGTTCACAACCACATCACCAACGATAAGAGGTTTGATGGTTCGGAGAGGTGAGTTTTTGCCGGCTTGGTCTGGAAAGAACTGGAAATATGGTTCTTCTCTACACTCTGCTGCAGTGGGTGGAGAAGCTGCATGGATCAAAACAGCCTTTTCTGTATAATCAATAATGGCACCAAATACCTTTCACATTCTTCCTAATATAAGCAGGAATAGCCTGCAATTTCAAGCTTCCCTATTGCTGATCATTAAGGCCTTGTGCGATGCAGTTCTATACAGTGGTGCCTCACTAGACAGTCACCTGGCATGACTTTTTTTTCACTAGACATTGACTTTTTGCGATCGCTATAGCGATTCGCAAAACAGTGATTCCTATGGGGGAATTTCGCTGAACAATGTTTGGTCCCTGCTTCACCAACCGATTTTCGCTAGACAATGATTTTGACAACTCCCTCCGCGCTCGCAAAACGGGTGTTTTGGGGACCTAAGCTTCGCAAGACAGCTATTTAAACAGCTGATCGGCGGTTCGCAAAGCGGCTTTCCTATGGCCGATCTTCGCTAGACAGCGACGATTCTTCCCCATTGGAACGCATTAAACAGGTTTCAATGCATTCCAATGGGGAAATGCTTTTCGCTAGACGATGATTTCGCTAAACAGCAGTTTCAGTGGAACGGATTATCATTGTCTAGCAAGGCACCACTGTACATAACACTTGCAATTCATTTTCCAAAATTAACTGTCTTAGTCCGTCTCAGCATGCGTTAAGAAAAACAAAACAAAAAGCCATCCTTTTTAAAATGAATAGACTTACTTCATTGTGAGCTTTAATGGACCACAGCCCTTTTGATACAAAGGCGTGGAATTGTAATCTGTGAAAGCTCACATAGAAATGGATCTGTTTGTTTTAAAGGTGCCACAAGGCGTTTTGCTTGGCTTTTTGCTATAGAGGCCAATATCATACTGGCAAGTGTAATTTGCCGGTGTGACATTTTGGTCGCACACAATTATTTATTCATCTACTGTATTTATTTATTTGCCTTCTATACCGCCCATCTGGCTGGCAGGCCACTCTGGGCAGTTTACAATAAAACAATAACACCAACATTTTTAAAAAAAAATCAGATATAATAGTTATATAATTAAGCCAAACTACAGCCTTCACAGGACTTGTTCCCAGGCACAGTTACAGAAAGTTACTTTTCTGGAAAACAGTTTCCCAAATCTTCCAGCTACCATAGTATTCCAGTAATTGTAATCCAAAAATAAAATACATTTTTGAAGCCCTACTCTTTGAAAGATAAATTAGTGAAATACTTTTTTAAAAAGCTGGTATCTCCTAATGCTCTAAGCTAAAACTCAAGGTTAATTAAACTGGTGTTTTTGTCCAATGTTTTTGCCTTTGGCTCCGGCCATCCCTGAAATTTCCTTCCTGCTCTTCCCCCATTTCTTTTAAATATGTAAGTATGGGTGGAATGATGATTAGAATCAGCACGAATAAATACAGAACCAAGTGGTGGTAGCCTCACACAGAACAGTCGTCCGTTTGATTGAGGTTGCATTCAGAGGTCCTTACTTCAAAGTAAACAGGCACAAAAATGACTGCCAAGACTGCAATCATAAACAAACTTCCTGGTTGGCAAATTGCATTTCAGATACTGTATTGGGTTTTATTTCTAAATGAATGTACTTAGTCTGAATGGCAATATTTGTGTTATCCCAAATGGGGAAATCAGGTCTAGTCTTCTTCCATTCCCTTGTTTCACTCAGCATAAAATTTTGTCAGAGAGAAGGTCTCACTTGCAGAAGATGCCAGGTGTATGGAGATGTTCCCATGTTCACCCTTTGCCCCTTAATTCCCTCTCTTGTAGCATCAAGTCTTCGTGGAATATCTCTGTAGTGAAATTCTTGCTGGAAAAACTGAAACACGAATTGGTATCGAATCACCATAATTATACTGACAAGGAACTAAAAGGTAAGGAGGAGGTGGATAAAAAATGCTGTGCCTTTTCTTTTCTTTTCTATTGCTGGAACATAGCCAGGACAGAAGCCTTTCTCTCCTTCATCCATAATCCTTTTTTCAAAAGGCAGCTTTGCGTTTGATTGAAAATGAAACAAAAATAATTATTTTGGGGATGGTTTCTTCCCTCTCCCTCCCAGTATTGAAAATAACCATATCTCTTTAGTATGTTCTCTCTTGATGATATCTGAAATGTTGGTTGTTTATATACACACACAAATTTAATATCCTCTGGGCCTGGTTTCTGTTTCCCAAGCTTGTGATCCTCACTCATCTACTTTTTTCCCCCGATAGGTGCTTGCGTGGCCTACTTTTTGACCAAACGCCGAGAGTATCGTAATTCCCTCAACCCTTTCAAAGGACTGAAGGAGAAGGAGGAGAAGAAACTTCGTAGTAGACGCTATCGAGTAAGGCACGACTTGAGAACAAGGTAGAGATGGGCATGAAGTGCTGGTTTGGCTGTTCGTGGTGGTTTGTTTAGCGGCCAAGCGGGTTCAGCTGCTTACCGCCTATTACAGAGGTAAGCATCCCGGCTTCCCTGCCCCGCCTCCTCTGGATGCTGTTTTTGAGTAGGTGCTAGTTAGAGGAGGCGGGGCAGGGAGGTGCTAGCTAGAGGAGGCGGGGCAGAAGAAACGAACCAGCACGAACTGCAACACTGGTCCTTCACGCCCATCTCTACCGAGGACACCTCTCTGCATTTATTATTTGAAGAGGACCACAGTATGATAACACCAAACAAGCAAGCAAGCAAGCAAACAAACAAACAAAAACCACCCCACTACCATAATTATTCATTGGTTTCATTTCGGGTCATTTGTAAAGGAACAAAACATTTAAACATCACCCTGAAAAGGAAAAGGTATCATTAGTTTCCCTTTCAAAGAAACAAGTCTCTTAAACAGATAAAGTCATCCGTGGCTGCAGTGAAACTTATTATAAGATGTTATGCTACCTTGACAGGCAGGCTTTTGCTGCTGAAATTACAAATGCTATGAAATGTGTAAAAACTCAAACCATTACAAATATATTCTGTCCGTTTTTTTACATAAAGTATAGCCTGCATTCAATTTAGCAGGAACCCCTCTGTTTTTCAGTAGCTCAAATCCTGTTCCATAAGTTACATCGCATAAGGATGATGATGTCATTGTCTGCAGTAATTTTTCTTTTTGGAAATAAAATATTTCTGATTCCCCCTCCCTCCTTCCCCAAGGTCCTAAGTCCCTCTTGGAATTCCTTTTATCACAACCTATGGAACAGGATTTTATCCATAATGTAATGTGTACCTGTCTTATTTTTTTCATTTTTATAACGTTTTTCATTTGACTGCTTGGACTTCGTTTTAACTACGTTTTTTTCTGTGTATGCTTTTCATTCTCAAAATGAAAGCAGGGATCACCCCGTTGATGGGTGTAAATATATTCCAAGGAAGAGGGTGCAAGACAGTGAGATTTTATTTCGGTGAATTTGAACCCATTTCTGTAATAGATGCTGTTACTGTAATTTAGGGATGTTCGGGGGGGAATTGTCCTTATTTTTAATTTAACAAAACTTTTAATTATGTTTCTTTATGTTTAACTTTAAAATATAAACTTTTTCTTTTTGATTAAAAGGGGTTAGATAATTGTAAAGAAGAGGTACAAAAGCGTGGTCTAAAAATGGAAGTGTTATGTCCAAAGATTTAGGAAACACTGGGTGCAGTGTTATTCCATTTGTGTAGTATGATCTTAAAAGAGCTAATGTGGTTAGCAAACAGAATGCTGGACTAGGACTTAGGAGACCTGGGTTCAAGCCACCAATCAGCCGTGGAAATTCACTGGTGGGTGGGGGTGACACTTGTGAAACCATTTTTTAAACATCTCACCCTACTAAGGCTAACATAAATCAGAATCAGCTTGATGGCATGTAATGCAGATAATAAGGTATGATCCTACTCAAGTGTACCCAGAAATAGATTTTACTGTTCTGTTTGTACTATAAGAGTGGAATTTTATACACCATTGGTTTCCAACCTTGGATAACCCAGATATTCTTGTACCGCCATTCCCAGAAGCCTTCACTACCAGCTGTGCTGGCTGGGCTTTATAGAAATTGCAGTCCATGAACACCTGGGTTACCTAAGGCTGGGAATAGAGATGGGCATACCCATTGACTTGGGAGTAAGTCCCATTGAGATGAATGCAGTTATGCTTCCAGTAGAATCACTGAAAGGAGTGAGATTTAACTCAGTCATGCCTGGCATGAGTCCGCTGATTTCAAAGGACCAATTCTGAGGCTGGGCTGCAGTGATTTCCCTGCAGATGGAAGGGCTGATTCGAGGGAGATTGCTCCTGTTAAAACGACCCTTTTCAGTGCAATGAGGTACCTGCCTTTCCAGAAATCTGATTGCACCCTAAGTATGAGTAAACAAACGTGTTTGTGGCACCTTTAAAACTAACAGATTAATTTTAGTCTGATTTTTTTTCACGGATTACGAGCCACTCTCTCAAGAAGTACATTGTTATCCTTGAAAGCTCACATTTGAAACAAATTTGTTTGTCTTAAAGGCATCAGAATATTTTAACTTCTCTTCAGTGTTTAAGGTGGAAAAATATATTTTAAAAGACTTTAGTGAAATCTGCTTGTGAAAATGTCCAAATACTACAGTCTCGTTAAGATTTGGAAGTCAGTTCCATTGAACAGGGTGAAGTTAACTTCAGAGTAAATACACATAGGGTTGGGCTGCAAGAGGGGGGGAAATGGAGTCAAGGGTCTGTAGATCAAGACTTGGTGAAGATGGTTAAAATAATCATAAACATTTTTCTTCTGATCAGCATTTCACCAGCTTGCCGGATCCTGTGCGTATCACTCGGAGGCAGCTCCTGCCGAATTTAGTCCGGCTTTACTGAAAACGGAAAAATACTTTTTTTAAAAAAAAGAGAGAGAGTAATAAGATGATACTGGATCATTATGTCTGCATCCCACTTGTTTTGCAATCTCATTTATCAAAGCAGAGCTAGTCTTCCTTTAAAAGGAAAGAAAAATGAAGCCTGTCTCAAGCCGGAGCTGCGCTTTCTGAGACCTCCCCGGGAGTAGCACTAGGGAATCACCTTCGCAAAGAGGGGAGCTGAGATCCAGGTGGGAGCGGAGCAAATGAGCCATCAGCCTTTGGCTGCCAAGACATGTTTGCGTTATAAACGGCCATCCATGGAACAGCATGTGCTGGCTTTCTGCTGGAGAGCTTATGCTTGAGCTCACCTGTCAGATAGCGGGGCAAGGGAGAGCTCTGATTTGCACACATTGCTGGAACAGGCTGCAGGTTTAAAGAGGCAGACCTTTTGGTGGGCTGTAGCTCCTGGAAGAGCTGGCTGGGGATGATGGGAGTCAGGGGTCCAGCCATAGCTTGAGGGCGACGCTGGGCTCACCAGCTGTAATTCCTTTAGGCCCGAGCGAAGGCACAGTTCTGTAACCCTCCAACATTAGGGGTAGATAAAATGGCAAAATATGGGCCTGCCTGGGTATTGAGATTATCCGGGGAGGCCTTCCTCTCGGTCCCACCACCCACCTAGGTGTGCTTGGTAGGGGCATAGGACAGGGCCTTCTCTGTGGCTGCTCCCAGACTCTGGAACTCCCTCCCACTGGAGGCCGGCCTGGCCCCATCTTTGCTGCCCTTCCACAAGCAGGCAGCCTTTCCTTTCAATGATTGGTGATTTTTTTTTCAAAACAGGGAGCATTTTTATTCTGTTTTATCTGTTGTTCATATTATTCTTGTTGTGAGTTTTAACATGATACTTGTTTAATGCTTTTTTAAAAATATTGTACCGATTAATTATTTGGCTTTTAACTTTGTCTCTCTTAATTCTGCAAGCCGCCTTGAATCCTTTAATCAATGAGAAGTGTGGCGTATAAACATAAGGAAAAGGGAAGACAAAATAAGAGCAGAAAGAACGCAGGGGGCTAATCGTGGCAGGGGAGGAGGTGATATCACTAGAATGACTGATTAGGTTCTCTTTCGTCTTACCCTTTAGCTTTTTGCAAACCGTTCCGGGATGGCACGCTTGCTCGGTCCTGAAGAGCAACGCATATGGCAAAATGTGACGGAAGAGCTTATGTCCGACGAGGAGGACAGCCTGAGCGAGCCAGGGGTTTGGGTGGCACGCCCCCCACGCTTTCGAGCCGCTCCCCTCACTCAGCTCTGCTACCGGCTTGATGCCAACTCCAAGCATGGCACCAAAGCCAACCGGGTCTATGGGCCGCCTTCGGACCGCCTGCCCTCTGCCGAAGCTCAACTTCTGCCCCTGCATCTCTATAATCCCCATTTTCAAGAGGAAGAAGCCGGGGCCGCCACGCCCTCTCACCCACCTAGCCACAAAAGCTTTTGTCCCGACCTCAGCTCTTTCGTTGAGATCAAAGTGGAAAAGGACGAGTAACTTTAAGATGCCTAACTTTGTTCCATGCTTATCGAAATAACGGAGAAGAAAGAAGACAGGGTCAAATGAGACACTGGCACCACCAGCTGAGCTTACGGCTTTCTTCAAGCTGAGTAAAAAAGCATAATTGTCTGCTGTGCCCGAAATGGCTTTTATGGATTAACACACCTTTCCGCTCTACGGGGAGCCTCTTTTAGGTCATTACAGAAGGACTATGCGGGAAACGATAACCCTTCACTAAATAGCTGATCAGTACTTAACAGGATGACTGTATAAAATATGATGAGTGCACAATCCAAGACTAGATTCAGGCAAATTTGAAGCAAGGTAGGAATTCCTGACGGTGTTGAGGGTTAGTGGCATCACAAATGTAAGAGAACTTGTGTCCCATTGCACGGTAACTTTATTCCATCTAGTAGTTCTTGGTCACAGAAGACAACAGCTAGCTAAGGGATGGCTAAAACTCTGGAGAATGCTCTGTGATTCAGGTTGAATGTTCTTGGAAGGAGGGAGTAGCAGAATGTTGGGTTCATTGTTGACGGTTTTAAAAGGCCGACATAAAACAATGCTCGCAGAACTAATCCGATGTCTTTTGGGTGCATCTGCATAAACAGGCGGGTGGGAAATTACGTGCTTTTGTTTTCTCTTGGAAAGGAAGAAAGAGAGAAGGAGACTGACTTGATGGAAAATGGGGCTGCACCTTAGTATGCATTAAATAGAACAATAGATTCCAAACCACGTGAGGGACTAGTCTGCCTCTATTCAGCACTTGTGAGGTCTCATCTAGATGACTGTGTCAAGTTTTGGATGCCACACCTTAAGAAAGATCTACCAAATTGGAGCAAGTTTAGAGGAGGGCAACAAGGACAATCAAGGGACCAAGCCCTAGGAGGAAAGACGGAAAGAATTGCCCTTGTTTATCCTTGAGAAAAGAAGACTGAGAGGAGACAGGATAACACTTTTCAAATACTTGAAATACAGTCATGCAGAGGAGGGGTAAGATCTGTTCTTGATCATCCCCAAAGTGCAGGACATGTAATTATGGGCTCAAGCTACAGGAAGCCAGACTTTGGCTGAGTATCAGGAAAAAACTCTTTACTGTTAGAGCAGTATGAAAATGGAGCCCATTGCCTCAGGAGATGGTAAGTGCTTCAATGGCCCATTGCCTCAGGAGATGGTAAGTGCTTCAGTGGTAGAGGCCTTCAAGAGAAAATAGGACCACCGTCTGTCAGATCTGCTTTGATTTGGATTCCTGCCATGAGCAGGGGGGTGGACTCAACGACCTTGTAGGCCCTTTCGAACTCTATGATTCTATGAATGCAGGTGGTCTCTTAGAACTTGACATAGAAGAGAGAAGAATAGGTGGGTGACAGGGTGATGAGGAAGCCCCTCCTGAATAGTTAAATGGAAGAATTTCAGCTAGTACAGAATTCTGCACATATCTTTTGTTTCTTTTTCTTAGGCTTTAGAACAACGGGGGTGGCGTCCAGAACTTGCGGGTTCCATCCTTTTTTTTTGCAAGAATATTAAATATTTTACACGCAGAAAGAGATAAGAGGCAGCAGTCCGTGGTTTTAAAGTGTTTTCCCTCCTCCCAACTTTTCCTCCAGCAGATTTCTGGAAAGGCCTGTCTGAGCGTTGATTGTCAAACTCCAGGCTCCCTGGTGCAGGAGCAGAGCTGGGTTTTCAGCGGGAAAGGAAACACTTAAGTTAATTCACTAAAATGTACACTCCTTTAAAACTGGCCATGGACTCGTACAACCTTGTCATTGGTCCCTCTGTAATTATACATAGCTAAATCCACGAGAAATCAGTTTGAGAGGATGCACTTTGGTGTGGAGAGACGGAAGAGTTTCCAGTGAGGTTCTGAGGCCTGTTGTATGAGAGCCATAAAGGCCAATGCTTATTTTTATGAGCTGTCGCTGTCCTCTGGCGGTGCCTCGAAGTAGTACCAAAAAAAAAGTCAGATCGTCTCTCTGGTTGAGCACACACCTGCTATTTGCTGCTTTATTTCTTAATCTGGAAAAAGGAGGAGGCATAGTTTGTGTTACCCTATTTTCTCTGTGTATCCTTTCTCAATGCTCCCTCTGCTTTCAGTTGTTCACCGCCGTGTGCCTGCCTGTTTCAATACGAGATGCCAGATGATTTTCTTGATTCCACCCAGCCTGGCATGTTTGATGGCGTAAAAGGTCAGATTTCACCGTCGTGGATTAGAATCTTCCCATCGCATGGACAGGTTGGGACAGTCTTCTTAGTATAACAGCATGTTGTAAACATACGTGTCCTTTCATTCCAGTTTGAAAGGATAAGGAAGCAGACTGGGTTGGTTGCTGGGTTTTGATTGGCTCTTCGTTGATTTTCGGTTGCCTCTTCTTGGGTTCATTATTTCTCAAATAAATAGGAATCGATATTCATGGAGCATAGACCTAATAGCTGAAAGCTATTGATATGAGTTTACATACGTAGTGGCAGCTTCCCTTTAAATCTAAGCTGCTGACTTCAGACTAGAAGGAATGTAGCTTTTGAGGGTCCAGATAGTTCTGGACCCTCACAAGCTGCATCCTTATACAGTAGTCTGGAAAATTAACCACAAATTCAATACATGGTCATTTGGATTGATTTTGCAAAGTGTATTTATGAGGACAAAAGAGTGCAGCTACCTCTTTTTTAAATTTAAAGGGTAATTCTGTACATGTCTACTCAGAAGCAAGCAATGTGTGTATAGTATTGCAGCTGTATGCAACCAGATCTTATTAACAGCTTGTAATTTATCAAATTCTCTGAGGTAGGTATTTCACTTCAGAAGCACAGAAACATTTTCCTAGCAGGCAGAAGCTCGAGGTTGTTGACAAAACAAGTTTAAACAGCTTAAAGCAATTCTCTCCGTTCACTCCTTAAGCAGTTTGATGTGGGTATGCTAATACAGCACACCCCTTTTTTTTGCAAATAAGGTAAGATGAGCCTAAGAAGCACTGATTTTGCTCATCTCCTCATCATGGGTCTGTGCCAGAGAAAGACTGTGAACCTCAATCTGATGGTTTGAAGGCCAGCAACGTCTATGTTTGCTTGGCTTCTGAAGCACAGGAGAAAGAGAGTTTATGATGGTTCCAAATCATCCCACTCCAAGCTGCAAAGTGTTCTGTCTTCTGCCATTCTGTGGAACAAAAAATTCTGACAGATGTATCTCATTTTCCCCACTTCACTACAACCTTCCACAGCAGGGAGATGTGATAAAATGTACTAGCTGAAATTCTTCCATTTAACTATTAAAGCTGTATCACAGAAACACCCTTTATTTTGTTTCAGGGGTTCATCCCATCCTCTGCTCTCCCAAGAACCTCAAGATGCAAGGAATTACACTATATGTTAGCTATTTCTCTCTCGCAAAATACTGGTGCATCCATGCTGGGTGTGTGTGTGTGTGTGTGCAGCTTTATTTATTCCTTTTCCTTGATTTGTCTTGCTCCTTCCCCTTCTTCATCATTACCCAGGGAAGCTAACAATGTACTAAAATCACGTTTAAAAATAAGTTTATACCTTTCCAAAACCATACATTTCTAAAAGGGCAACTTCATATCTGCTAGAATGTATGAGGTAAAGGTTGCCCTTGACATTTAGTCCGGTTGTGTCCGACTCTAGGGCGTGCTGCTCATCTCCATTTCCAAGCCATAGAGCGAGCGTTTTGTCCCAAGACAGTTTCCGTGGTCACGTGGCCAGCGCGACTAGACACAGAACGCCGTGACCACCATGGTGGTACCTATTTATTTACTCGCATTTGCATGCTTTTGAATGGCTAGGTTGGCAGAAGCCAGGAAAAGTGACGGGCGCTCACTCCGTCGCGTGGATTCGATCTTACGACTGCTTAGTCTCACCTTACAGCACAGAGGCTTCTGCGGTTTAACTCGCGGCACCACCACATCACTTTATATGAAGGGCAATACAAAACAATCCATACTCAAAGACAAGTGATGCCTCTGTTTCTGTCTACACCCGAAGTTTGAAAGTAAACGGGATGAAAGTCACAAATGGGGTGGCCAAGCTGATGTCTGATAAAAATAAAGAAGACAAAAGCATGGTAGCACCTTAAAGGGTAACTGCTCTTTATGTTAAGGTGAGCTTTCGTGCACAAATCCACTTCTTCAGACCTTCTGATAGAAGAGTTCCAAAATTAAGGTGCCACCACCAAGAAAGCCCAGCATTGCCTTGGAACCCTCCCCTGCTCTGGTGCCTCCTAAGAAGAGATTTCCTGGCTGGTTTTCTGAACAAGGGGGTGGCAGGGGTTGATGATGATGAGAAAAAAAAAACACATGGAGGCTCAACTATGGAAACAATGGGAACCTGTGGCCTTCCAGATTAACTTCTTGGTTGGTGCAACTTCCATCATTCTATCACCAGCCATCCTGCTGGAAGTTGGGAGTCCAAACCCCAAAGGTTCACAGAGCAGTGGTTCCCAATGTCTTGGACTACAACTCCCAGAAATCCTGGCTGGTGAAGGCTTCTGGCAGTTGTAGTCTAAGAACATCCGGGGACCCAAGGTTGGGCAGTCCTAGAACAGAGGAACTCCCCAAATGGGCAAGGGTTTAAACATGAAAATCATTAACCAATCAGAATGTCAAGGCGAGGGTGGAGCCCCGCCTTTCCAGTCACCCCTCCCGATCATTTGCCTAAACCCGCCTTTCTTGTCTTCTCCAGCTTCTCATTGGTTCGTTATCCCTCAGGTCACGCCTCTAAGGAGGCGGGGCTTCTGCCTATCTTCTCCCCCCTCTGCCGCCGCCGTCGCCCAGGGTTCTTCTGGGATTTGACGGGGACGCGGACGACCGGTGGGGTTTTGTGCCGCGGGGGCGCGCAAATCGAACTCTGAGGAGGAGGGGGGGAGCGGGGAGGGGGCGCAGGTGAAAGAGGCGGGAAAAGGCGCCGCCGCTCCGGTTGGTGACGTCACGGGCCTTAAAGGGGAACGACTCCAGAATTAGATTAGTACCTTCTTTGCACAGAAGGGAGCGGGGCGGGGACCTATAGGTGTGAATGGGTGGAGTGTCTTTCTGGGCAGATACACCCTTTCTCTTTTCCCCTCCCACCTTTTATTTGGTCTGCCCCTGTTGGGTTGCTGCCTGTTGCACCCCAGGCAGAAATTGAACTGGTGTAGCCTCCTGTGTCTTTGGGGAGGGGGAACTGCACCTGTTGAATACCTGCCTGCCTCGAGGCCTCCCAATGGCGCTGGGCTTCTCTGTCTTGTCAGAAGGCTGAAAATACAAGACTTGACCCCGTGGCTTTCTGTGAAATAGGTCGAGGACCCCTGGGTGGTGCTACAGGCTGCAAAAAAAACAGGGGACGGCCTCATCTCCAAAAAAGGGCTGGGCTGGGGGTGTGCCTTGGCTTGCCATAAAGGAAATGCAGCGTGATTTTGATATTTTTCTTGTGGTTTAGTTGTGTCTGACTCTTCATGACCCCACGGACCAGAGCACGCCGGGCCCTCCTGTGATTTTGACATCTATTATCACAAATGTCTTAAGAAAACTTAAAAGAAGTTCTTTCCACATGCTTTTAAGGCAGCCCATGTAATTGGCATCACGGGGGGGTGGAGTGCGCCCTATGGGGGAGGAAGGTGGCATGCAAGGCATTCAAATAAATAAATACAATAAATATCACAGAGCTTTTAATACCATCACTTACTTCCTTGTGGCTTTGCCATTTTAGTGGGAGTCGCTTGAGGTCCCTGGATTGGGAGAAAGGCGGAAAATTAAATTAATCTATTCTAACAAGCTTAATAGATGGAAAGGAAGAGATTTTCCTCCGTTTGGTATTAAGTGCTGTGTTGGGAGGGCCCCCCCCCATGGAGGCGTCTTTCTCATGGTGTGAGTTTTTGAGGCAGAGGGATTCTAGGTGATGTGGTCCTGTGCAAGAAAAACGGTCTGTTTCGCTTCTATAATTTTATGGCATAAACCTGGGTGCGAGCAGACTGTGGCGGCTTGATAGGCACAGGGCACCCTTCGAGCTTAGCTGGTAAGATTGGCATGATCCGAACTCTGAACCAGCCCTCCAACCTTGCACAAGTGTCTTTTGATGCATCCGTCTGGTTGGTGGGAATCGGGATCTCTCCTTCCAGTTAAGAGTAAGCCCTGGCATGCTGGCCATTACTAGTTAGTCGTTTTCCGAGGTTTGTACAGAGCCGTCGCCCCAGTTCCCTTTGCAGGATGGCTTGAATTTTGTCTGGATTTTGCGTTTCCTGGGGTATCCGTCTCTCTCCCTGAGCACGGCTCTTGCTAAATCACGTCCTCTCCCCCTCTTTCATAGGTGCCTTTCCCCATTAAAAAGCTCATGGCATCGGCTTCAGGGATTGTTGGTGCCCAGCTGCTGCAGCAAGGTAAGCTTCCTGGGTCTACTCAGAGTAAAAACAAAGTTGCCCAGAGGGCGAGACTTCACTCTCCCTCCTTCTGTTTGTGCCCCACAGGTCCTGGAAGGCTCCTGCCCCCTTGCTCGCTGACCGAGGAGGATTTGGCTGCTTGTCCTGGCTTGGCTAACCTCCTTCTGGGCCTGACTAAATATATGGACTCCAGCGGCCTCAGTGTCAACTTGGCGCAGCAAATGGAGGAGGTGAGACATAAGCTGTTATCCCAAGCGTGCCACACTTTCATGAGTAAACTGTGCCCGTGTGGATGTAATATTGTTGGACATAAAAAGCCCCGTCTTGAGAATTCAAGCTTTCATTATTGTTATTATATATATCTTTAGGGTGCTGGGAAGCATATTATCAGGTCTTATGGCTGCAGAGATGAGATAAAAGACAAACAGCAAGGTTCTTAATGGCTCAGCGCGCTACTATCCGTTTTCCTTTTACCTATCGCTTGCTAAAATAGAATAAGTAGTGCAGGATAAAGATATTGCAATCTAGGTTGCAAAATGCTTCCCCTCTACTGCCTAATATTAATAGTGGCAGGCTGTTTCAACAGCAGTGTATTTTAATGTATTTAATCTATCTGATAGATAACCCTACAGCTGTGTTGTTCTTTTTTTCTTTTTTCTTTTTTTTCTTTTTTTAGACCCGAAAAGAATTACAGTTACGCCGAGCAAACTGGCTGAAGTGGGAGGCTTTGTCACGGCTTCTTCAGGAGGCGCTGAGAGACCTGGCAGCCGGTCCTGCTCCACAGGACAGAAAAGTGAGGAGGAGAAACGGAGTGACTTTTGGGAGGCGGAGGGATGACCAAGGGTGCTTTGTCCGAATTTGCATGGGTGCAGGAACTTTGAGAGAGACGGACTGAAAGATTTAATATAAATGCCATAGGAAGAGGGCGAGTGCATTGAAGCAGGATGGTGAGGAACTTTTTACAAGACCTAAGAACAATAAGTGGGTTCTTGATGGGGGAGAAAGAAACCTGAGGTGATAAAGGAACTCTGGAAAATGAGTGTGGGTAGCTTGGAAGTTGTGATATGTGGGGTTGCAGGATGTCATTAGTGGTTCTCAAAACTGCTCTTGCTGTTTTGGACCTCCGCTTCTAAAAGCTCTGAAAGTTATTGCCTGTGGCTTTTGAGAACTTAAGTTCAAAACAGAGATGGTACGTGAAAGATGGAGAACCATTGGTTGAATAAAAATCACCCTGCCCTATTAGAGAGGGCTTCCTTTTTTCACAGACTGGAAAGAACCACTGGGAAAGATAAAACCAGTTTCCCTGTGTGGTGTGGATGTTGAGGCGCTCAAGGTGAAAATTTTGTCTCATTCCCGGATCTTTCATGCTTCTGCCCTCAGTTCTTGGAGGTCCTGGAGCAGCAGCTTTTGGTAGCCGAGTTGAAACGAATCCTGGATCTCGACCGCTCGTTACAGGGCACCCAGTCCTCTCTCTTGGGTTTACGATCCTCTCACATGGCGGAGCTCCTTCCTCCCAACCAAGTAAGGCTGCCGTACCATTTTGCAAGAAACGAAATGAGAGAGGGCAGAATTTAGAGACAAAATCCTTTTGCTTCAGAATGCGCTGCATTCTAAACTTTTCGGCGTGAGTGGGGGAGCATTTCTTGCTCTTTCAGATATTCTAATACAGTGGTGCCCCGCATGACGACGTTAATCCGTTCCGGGAAAATCACTGTCAAGTGAAATCGTCGTCATGCGAAAAGCCTTTCTCCATTGGAATACATTGAAACTCACTTAATGCGTTCCAATGGGGAAATTACCTCGTCGTCTAGCGAAGACCGCCCATACGGGAAGCCATTTTCCGAGCACCGATCAGCTGTTAAAATGGCTGCCCTGCGAAGCATGGGTCCGGAAAACACAGGGCAGCCATTTTGCGGAGCCGGAAAAATCGTCGTCTTGCGAACAAACGGTTCGCGAAGCACAGACCTAATCGATGTCCAGCGGAATTTCCCCATAGGAACGACTGTTTTGCGAATCACTATAGCAATCGCAAAAAGTCACCGTCCTGCAGATTCGTCGTACAGCAGGGTCGTTGTCTAGCGAGGTACTACTGTGTGCATGATGTGGATTTCCCTCTTAAAGCGGGGCAAATACATAATGCATCTTGCCTGAGGATACACAAATCTCTACTGCCATGCTCTCTTTCAGAGAACCTGGAAATCTTAATACTATGAGGGGATCAGGGAATGTGAATGGAATACGCTTTCCTTGCAAGATCAAAGTTGTTTCCATGTGGCACTTCCCTCTACAACCCATTTTTAGTTGCTAAATTGAGTAGGTAGGGCAATATTCTTCCACAGGAAGAAGAATCATCTACTCTAGGTAATTGGTAGGTTGTTCATTGTTTAGAATTTCCTTGCTTTCAAATACCGAACACCACCTGGTTTGGGGTGTATTAACATCATTTTTTAAACCAAGTGTACTTTCCGAAAGTCCTCTGCAGCCTTGTTTAATATAAACGTGGCTGTGTTTCCCTTTGAGCTGGCTGGATAGCTTAGTGGTTTAGGGACCTGGCTGCAGAGCCTGAAGTTGGGAGTTTGATTCCCCCACTGGGCCTCTTGTGAGTAGAGCCAGCCTATTTGGCCTTGAGCAATCTGCACATTCCCAAGGCTCTCGTTCTGAGAAGTAAACCCCTTCTGAGTGTCTTCTACTTGGAAAACCTTGATGGTACATGATCATGATGATGTTTCCCTTTATACTGATTCTTTCGCTACCAAAACACCTATGTGTTTTATTGAGGCTGGAGACAAATTCAGATAACGACAAGAATGTATATGTTCCGGAATGAGGGAATGAGCCGTTAACGGTTTGTTCCAAGACTCCCAGGTGTAACTTGAAATCTGGAAAGCATAAAAGCTGGCTCAAAATTTTGTACGTGTTTGTTTGTTTGCCATAAAGGGATTGCCTGGCTGTGAATTCTAGATTTTTTTCTCATGGAATGGGACAGTTTGTTCTGTTTTATGTATGAGAGAGGGAAACTTTAATCTTTAATCCCCATCTCTTCTCTCTCTTCCTGCCCCATTACTAGTGGTGTTTGGACTGACTGTAATCATAGTCACTACTGCCCTACAGAGGGTTTGGTGTACTGATTCAGTATGTCCAGTGCTGTCTAAAAGTACTCTAAATTTCCCAATGTTGAATGGAAACAGTGCCTGGGGCATTTTTATTTATTTATTTATTTGCATGTTGCCAATTTGGCCTCCTGGTTCTGTATTTCACCCCAGGAGCTGGAGCAAATGCGAAAGCGCCTCCCTGCGGAACTGGAGAAGCGTCTGAAGTCCAAATGTTTGGCCGTGCTCAGCTACTACCGTCCTGAGAGCGGTAGGGTGCGCTTTTGGCTTTGAGGGGTTGGGTGGAGGAAGGGCCGTGACATCCGAGAGCAGGTAAAGGTTGCAGTGACAGAAGCCCCTTAGGCAGGAGGTTGATGTTTCCTGCTCCCCATCCTCTCCTTTTGCAGATGGTGCCGGGGAGACGACGCGCGCAGCCATGTTTGGGACCCTGGCAGGGAATCTGGTCGAAGAGAAGCAGCGTTTGCAGGAGGCCCAGGATCGTCACGAGGAGCTGGTGGGGCTGCTGGAACAGCAGAAAGTGGCGTATCCCCAGGTAAGAGGTGGATTGTTTGGTGAAAATATGTGCTCTTTTTGCTAAGAGAGTTGTTTATTTTATTTTATTTCACTACGTTTATAGACCGCCCCGTTCGTGCGATGCACTATTCTGGGTGGTTCACAACCAGCCGAATAACAAATAGAGAACCAATAGATAAATTAAAAAAAAAAACGTATTCAGGGACTCAGTCGTGATAGTGAAAAGCTCGTGAAAAGTGGGTCTTCAGCTATTGGCGGAAAGACGAAAGGGAAGGGGCCATCCTGATCTCCCAAGGTAGAGCGTTCCATAGCCTGGGAGCTGCCACAGAGAAGGCCCTCTCCTGTGTCCCCATTCGCTGTGCTTGCGCTGGCCATGGGACCGAGAGGAGGGCCTCCTCTGCTGATCTATCCTTCAGATAGCCCGGACCCAAGCTGTATAGGGTTTTATAAGTAATGACCATTTCCTATACATTGTTGCCTTTTACGTTTGGCAGAAAAGAATTTGACAGTGGCTTATGACAGTGTGGTAAGGCTACGCATCCACTTTGCTAACGAGCTCTAAACTCCATCTGGAATTTGTACCTAATTAAATCTGTGTGTATTCACTTTGGCTTCAAAGGTTCAACTAATTTTTAAAAAGATAGAAGACAAAGGCGGTAGTGTGTGTCTGGGGGTGTATAGTATGTGTCGAAGTATTCGTGTTCATGATGTGGAGGAAATTCATGCCTATTGGGAATATGGGAATACAGTAACAATTTAAGGCAGTGCTATATCTCTTCCACTGATTTTGGAATACGAGCAGTAATGAGTTCTTAGGCCTACGTTTTGAGGCCTACGTAGCTGAATATCTCTTTACTGATGTCCCATGGTAAGTCCTCCTGTCAGTCACTCTGAAGCATCGTTTCTAAAACATTAGAAGCCATGCCCAGCTTTACAGCCTGTCCTGAGCCCTGTCTGCACATTTACATTTCTCTTCACAATCACATTATAATGAGTCTCCCAATCCTATGAAGTCCTAGTCCCCCCTATTCAGCACTGGTTTAGCCTTGAGAAAAGAAGACTGAGGGGAGATAGGAATAGCCCTTTTCAAATACATGAAAGGCAGTCCTACAGAGGATCTGTTCTCAGTCCTCCCAGAGTGCAGGATATGTAATAATGGGCTCTAGCCAAACCACATTTAGGCTGAATGTCAGAAAAAAAACTTATTAACTGTTAGAGCAGTACGACGACAGAACCAAGGTCCTTGGGAGGTGGTGTGCCCTCCAACGCTGGAGGCCTTCAAGAGAAAATCGTGCAACCTTCTGTCTGGTCTGCTTTGATTTGGATTCCTGCCTCGAGCAGGGGGTTGGACTCGATGGCCTTACAGGCCCCTTCCAAGTCTTTGATTCTATGATTCTCTGGACCTGTGGATACGTAGGGCCAAGCAGCATTCCTTTTTCCATTCTTTTGTTTCCCCTACCACTTCTCCACATGCTGCAGGTCCTGCTACGCTGCTTAGCCATCCTAAAACGCTTGGCTCGCGAGTGTCGCCTTGGTAGCCAATCTCAACTGGACAGTCTCAACACCCAGTACTTGGAGATGAAGTGCAGTGCCATGTTTCTCAAGATACGGTGAGGTGTTCTGTTCCCCCCCCTTTGCATCCCATGGCAGGCAGAGATTGAACTTCATGGGTGCAGATCATGGGTGGATCTTGGTTCCGTAGATCAGGTTCAGCCAAGTGTGATCTGTGGTCCAAATAGGATTGCAGGACTATCTCCTGAAGCCTCCAGGAATGGTTTTCTTTGCTTTGGAGAAGATCATAGGTAAAGGTAAAGGTTCCCCTTGACAATTTTTGTCCAGTCGTGTTCGACTCTAGGGGGCGATGCTCACCCCCGTTTCCAAGCCATAGAGCCAGCGTTTGTCCGAAGACAGTTTCCGTGGTCGCGTGGCCAGTGTGACTAGACACGGAACACTGTTTACCTTCCCACCAAGGTGGTCCCTATTTATCTACTTGCATTTACATGCTTTCGAACTGCTAGGTTGGCAGGAGCAGGGACAAGCGACGGGAGCTCACTCTGCCGCGTGGATTTGATCTTACGACTGCTGGTCTTCTGACGCTGCAGCCCAGAGGCTTCTGCGGTTTAACCCGCAACCCTACCACGTCCCTTTTTTTGGAAAAGATCATAGCTCTCCCCAACCTAAAAAATCAAAACCAAAAGTAGATGTATGGTCACCTTTCTCCCCCCCTCCCTTTCTTGGCATGAAATGTTCTGGAGCAGGTGCTGGGGTGAAGATTTTACCCACCCAAATTGCCCAGTTAAAGATGAAAATACAGTGGTGCCTCGCTTAACGAGTGCCTCGCTGAGCGATGAAATCGCTTAACGAGGCACTCTGGGCCATCGCTGGAGCATTCGCTCAGCGATGGCCCCTATGGCGATTTTTCGCTGTGCGATGATTGCTAAGCGATTCGCTTAACGATTTTCGCACAACGAAGCGGGGGAGAACAGCTGATCGGCGGTTCCAAAATGGATTTGATCTTACGACTGCTGGTCTTCTGACGCTGCAGCCCAGAGGCTTCTGCGGTTTAACCCGCAACCCTACCACGTCCCTTTTTTTGGAAAAGATCATAGCTCTCCCCAACCTAAAAAATCAAAACCAAAAGTAGATGTATGGTCACCTTTCTCCCCCCCTCCCTTTCTTGGCATGAAATGTTCTGGAGCAGGTGCTGGGGTGAAGATTTCACCCTCCAAAATTGCCCAGTTAAAGATGAAAATAAAGTATTCGGCTCTCTCTCCACACGCACACATAACTAGTGAGTGTTCCTAATCTAAGGTTGGGAAATCCCAGATAGTTCATGATGAGAATTAGAATCCAGTTTAAATGCGAAAACATTTGATTTGAGCCTTCTGGAGTTTTAGATCTTGGCACTGAGTAAATCTTTGAGTTAAAGGCAGGACAGACCTGAAGCTGTATGTTTGAGGTGGACGGGAGTCTGAGGTCTGCTAGCAGATTTTCTCCAAATAATTCTCGTTCTCTCCTAGGCTTGAGGAACTGAGCATCCTTTTAGAAACATACACGCCTGAGAAAGTGGACGTGCACCGTAAGATGAGGTAAGCTTTTGTTTTTAATGCGGTGGCAGGGAGCAGTCTCTGTGTATGGTGACAGACCTGTACAGAGAGAGAACGCTCCCACGGGGCCTCCTGTTGTAACAGGTGTGAGTACATGCAGCAGCTGGAGGGCAATTAGCAGCAATGACATTTTCTTGGCAGGAAACTTGTTTTCTTAAATAAAACCTCTGAGGTGCTTTGCATAGAGTCAGCTTCCATACCGTTTTCTGGTGATTCATATTATGGCTAGAGCGAGTGAGGTAACTGCAGGTTCAAGATCAAGAGAAACTCAAAGTCCTTATGGAACCCAAGATATACATCAGGTCTAACCCATAATAGTTTGTGGTTCCTTCGCAGCCCCACTGTCACCCCCTGTTTTTTCTTAAAGCTCCGATTTTGTACAGAAAGGTTACTGTGATAGCCTGTATCTATGGAAATCATAGGAGCTAGCTAGAGAGATTATGATACGTCAGCAGGAAGAAAGGAAATAGCGTATTTTCCGTGTATAAGACTATACTTTTGTCCAAAATCTTTAGGCTAAAAATTGAGGGTCATCTTATACACGGAAGTAAGCTGAGGAGAGAATAAAAGCAAGTGGAGGGGAAAGCAGGGATCAAAGTGATCCTGCAGCGCTTTGATCCCTTTGCCCCTGCACTTGCTAAGCCCCACTTAGATTTCTTAATTTTGGATTAGAAAAGTGAGGGGCGTCTTATACACGGGGTGTTGTGTACACAGGAAAATACGGTAGTTGTTTTTCCAGTGCCTGAATAATTATATAATTCAAGAATTTGTGCATTCAAAGCATATGTGTTGGGGGGAAAAGAATGAAGTGGATTCTTTGTTCTTTAGACATTCTGTCGAGTAAATGGTTTGGGATAGACAGCAGCGGCAAGTTGGAAAACATGTTTGCTTCTGTAGCGACAGTGTGCGGGAAATGCTAAGCTTTTTGTCCTGTAGTCTGGATGTTTGTTCATTCTTCCCTTAGGGACAGCCTCCAGGCAACGCTAAGCCAAGAAGAGCAAGACCTGGCCACTTCCCAGAAGATCCTTTCCAACTATGAAGTGCTTGGCCCTGAGTTCGAGGAACTGGTGAAAGAGTACGCCCGGCTGCAAGCTGTCATTGAGAACAGACGCTGGGTGCTGACGGAGTTTAGCAAAGACTGAGACAGCTGGGGAGTGCGGTCATCTCCTGGACTCAGTTATTAACTGGTTGAATATTGACCTGTTTGTGTTCATTTGTGTTTTTTTATACAATAAAGTCTGGGGAGAAAAGGGATTAAGTGTGTCCTTGTTACTTTCTTCTTACTGGATGGGGACTTGGGTTTCTGCCTTCTGTTATCTGCTAGTGTAATATGTCCGATTGTATGCTTTTCCTTCCTGCCCCCACAACATCTAGAAGTCTCTGGGATTGTTCTTGGAGCCCATTTCTGCCTTCTTAAAACTTCCTATCCCTAACCATAGATAATAATAGAATTACACTGCTTCGACAAAGCTGTTAATAATCCGAGTGAATAAATGGTGCTGACCGTTCCGATGGTCTGGATAGCTTTTCGGTCTTGATTTTTATCTGCGAACAAAATCAAGTTTGAAATATAATGTCCGAGTTCAATTTCATTCTGTGAAATTTGCTTAGCAGTAGAAGGGTTGTTCCATCTTGACCATCAAGGAGACCCCAATTCAGCCGTTTTGAAACTGACATAACCTCTTTCCTTTCTCCATAATACAGTGTCCCGTTCTATGGATTTTAGCTTTATCCTGCTTCTGCTGAATAAAGCAAGGTGTTTAAAAAGTACCAACTCTTCAGCTGAACCATGAACACGTTTCAGGCTTCTATTGTGCCAGTTCTGTTATAATAGTACCTGTGCCGGTGAAGAATTAGTTCACTGTATTCTAAATTTTGGATAGATTAGTAGAAACCAGACAGATTCTGTTGTAAAATGGGCTTAGCTAAATATTGCAAGTACGTTGAGGAAAACTTGCTTTACAGAATGACTGAAAGTAGTTTGCAAATCCAATCTTGCAAGGAAGGGCCGACTGTTTAATTAGAATGTGGAATGTTGGATGTTTTACATGCTTTCTGAATTTACTAATACATAAACCCATAGACTTTAATTTTTAAAAAATAGGAATATAACTAGCAATGCTACCTTAGGAAGCCCAAGTGGCCCCATTTTTGCTGTCATTCCACAAGCGGGCAAATACCTTGCAAATCCAATCTTGCAAGGAAGGGCCGACTGTTTAATTAGAATGTGGAATGTTGGATGTTTTACATGCTTTCTGAATTTACTAATACATAAACCCATAGACTTTAATTTTTAAAAAATAGGAATATAACTAGCAATGCTACCTTAGGAAGCCCAAGTGGCCCTATTTTTGCTGTCATTCCATAAGCGGGCAAATATCTTTCTCTTCAAAGGAGCTTTCCCTTAATGACTCGCTGCCCTCAGTAGATCCTTTTAAAAAAGACTTTTTCCCTTCAAACAAGCTTTCCCTTAATGATTCGCTGCCCTCAGTAGATCCTTTTTAAAAAGACTGGTTGTGCCTTACTGGTTTGAATATGTTTTTAGTGTTGCTACTGTTTACCATTTGTCAGTATGGTATTTCTTCGGCCCTTTTTAGTATTTTTATACTCAGGCTTGTTAGCTTTAAATATTGTCGTACAATGATATGAGCCGCCTAGGGTCCTTCTTGAGAAAGGTGGGGTAAAAAATATTTTAAATAAACAACTAAACACATTTATACCTCCTGAGGTTCCTCTGTTGCACAAGAGGCCAGCAACTGATTGTGAATTTGGCCAGACCTTGAAAGAACTGAATACCAAAAACATAAATTACCACAAGGATACACCACCAACTCTCCAAGCCTGCCTAAATACTGTATTTTACTTGTGATCTCTGTATTTTGCAGTGTTTCACTCAATATGTCTGAAGAATTGCACCTGTCCAGGAAAGCTCTCATTAAAATACTGTATAATAGTCTTTAAAGTGCCATGAGGTTTTTGTCTTTAATAATAATAAAAATCATGATCATCCTTTGGGTTTACCTGATCTGCTTATACAGCCGAACGGGTGACTTTTTTTTCTACATGAATTCAGCTAGTGTACAAAACTGAACACTTGAGGATTCCAGGGATAAATCTGAATTTGAAACAGAGCTGTGGAATTCTGCTTCTAAGAAAGGTGAACTTTTGGTGTGGTATAAAAATAAACCTAAAAGGTCAGGAGAATTTGAAGCTAGAAATTGCTGTGGCATTTTGAGGATTAAAGAGGGAAGGAAAAAGTGTCTTTCCCGAGCCAGCCAGGAGTCGAACCTAGAATCTTCTGATCCGTAGTCAGACGCGTTATCCATTGCGCCACTGGCCCTCAGACACTTTAAAGAGGTAGAGCGCCCCCCTTATATAGTAGTCTCACAAGCACCCGATGTGGGCTCATGTATAGCTGTATTGTCTGTGTCGCAATGCCTCCTGGGAGCGGCTTCTCCTTCATTGTGGCAGCAATGTATGCTGGTCCTTGTAGTACAAATAGCTCACATAAACGCCTTTAATAAATATTGGAACCAACGAAAATGACTCCGCGTGAAGGCTTGTGAACTCTTTCCAACAACTCATCCTCGGGTTGGATGATGGAAGAAAAGGGATCGGAGGAGGGAATGAAGGAAAAGTCGGACGGCGCTTTGGCCGTCGGGAAATGTAGTCCGTGAAGTCCTCTCCGCCCCGGAGCCTGATGGGAAATGCAATCCGCGCCTCATGCTTCAGCATAGCGATAGAAAGCGACTCCCTTGTCACCGCCCCCGCCTTGGGTTTTGATTGGCTCGACTTTGACCGGGTTGGCTCCTCCCCTCCTTCCTGCCCCGAAGACCCTTCTGTGATTGGTCATCCGTTGAAAGCGCGGCCTCTGATTGGTCCGAGGGGAAGAGCGGGCGTGGTCGGCCGGCTCCGGCTTCTCTGTGTGGCGGGCCATGGCGGCGGCGGCGATGGCGGCAGCAGCGGCGTCCGCGATCGGGCCGGGAGCAGCCTCGGTGGCTCGCGTCTCCTGCGGGAGAGACCTCAGCTGCGTCCCCGAGGTGGCGGGCACCCTTGGTGCGGTGGCCAGGCAGGGGTGAGGAGAACCACGTGGTCCCCGGGTGACCCTTGACCTTTCTAATCCTGACCCGGTGACCTCTGACCTTTCCCTCTTGGGCTACCTGCGGTCATTCTAGGGCAGGGGGGTGGCTTACTTTCATTTAACTCCCTCCTCAGATGCTGGTAGACATTTGGATGGCCTCTGACCGAAGCAAAGTCCCCGCCCCCTGACCTTTGACCCGAAGCAAGACTGCAGGGCTGCTGCTGCTGCTCTGTTTTCCCCTGGCAAGGCTCCTGTGCATAATAAGAGGTGCACAGTGGAAAGAGGTGTTTCTGCCAGGGCAGAGATGCGGTGATGCTAACTAAATTGGGGTGGAGGAGCATGGTTTCCCCAATGGTGGTGACAGGTTGATTTCTTCTGTTCCTTCTGTGTCATTATGGGGTGTAAGCAATGGTGATCTGTAGCAAAAAAGGGCCAGCTGAACTGTTGAATCAGAAGTATAAGAAGACCTGTGGTGGATCAGACCCAAGACCTGTTTAGTCCAAGGGCAGCAAAAGCAACAGAATCTTGTGGCACTTTAAAAACCATTTATTTGGCGTGAGCTTGGATGGGCTCTGATCCTTTTTTTTTTCAGATGCATCTGAGGTGGTGGGCTGCGGTCCATGAAAGCTGAAATAAAACTTCTTAGTCTTGAAAGTTAGACTCTTGAAAGTTTGCAGCTATCAGGCACCAATGGCTTTCTTCCCAGAGCTGTCCATTTCATATTTTTCATGTAGTGGCCAGCCAGCTGCCTCCAGGAGACCTGCAAGAACAATATGAGTCCTACTTATATTCCCCACCAGCTGGCATGCAGAAACCTACCCCCCTATGTTGCAGCTGCTCTACATGATCTAATATATAAAAGCCTGTGGTCTGATGCTGTGAGATGGGAGGAAAGGTGGGTTGGAAATTCACTTTTCAACAGGAGACAGCATCTGTGGGTGTCTGGAAGTGAATTTCGCTTAGCCTCTGGTGACTATTTACAAACTTTTCTCAAGCAATGCTACAGAAGAGCCTCAAGAGATCATTGCAGATAAACCTGATTTTCATTAATATGAGGATAACTTCCTGGGCTCATGGAACTACAGTGGTGCCTCGCATTACAATGTTAATACGTTGCAGCGAAATCGCTGTAGAACGAAAACATCGTAAAGCGAAATTAAAAAGCCCATAGAAACGCATTAAACCCCGATTAATGCCATCCTATGGGCTTGAAACTCACCGTCCAGCGAAGATCCTCCATAGGGCGGCCATTTTCGCTGCCCGTGCAGCGAGGAATCCTTCCCAGAAAAGAGCAGGGAGCCTTTTTTTTTAACCAGAAAAGAGCAGGGAGCCTTTTTTTTAACCCAGCGGCCATTTTGAAACAGCTGGCTGAAAATCGTCATTTTGCAAGAATCGGTTCCCGAAGCAGGGAACCGATCATCAGAAAGCGAAATTCCCCCATAGTAAACATCGTTTTGCGATCGCTTTTGCGATTGCAAAAACTTCGTCATGATGCGATTTCGTCGTTAAATGGGGCGTTTGTCTTGCGAGGCACCACTGTATGTAAAAGTAGAGCTGTATTAATCTGTACTGAAATACTGTATTTTTACAGAATCACCTTAGATTAACCTTTTTAATCGACTGGTAGCTTATTTTGTTTATTAAAAGTATTTTCTGTCACTTTTCCATTAATAGAAGTGCTCAGGCTGGCATATAATCTAAGTAGCATATTAAATAACATGCATAATATTCAGTGGTAACAGGTGAGAGGCAGTAGGTAGGACATGTCATTAATGTACTGAGGATATTAAGTTATATAGCTCAGAAAATAAATGGCCTTGTGTTGCACGTGAAGGCCGTGGGACAGAGTAAGAGCTGATGAGACAACTGTTCCTTAGCAAGACTGGAGAGATCTTTTTCCTGCACATCAGTCTGGCACTACTTAGATGCTGGTGGGAGATGGTCTGGGCTTCTTATCTTTATGTGCCAGGAGCTTAATTGGTCCTAAATTCTTCCTCCCCTATATGATCTCTCATTCTATAGGTTTGATTTCCTCTGCATGCCTGTTTTCCACCCCCGTTACAAAAGGGAGTTTTTCCTCGAACCAGCGAAAAACCGACCAGGACCTCAGACCCGCTCTGACCTGTTGCTCTCAGGAAGAGGTGAGAATTTAGGGCTCTGTGGCCGAAATCCTGCTTGTGGCATAAGCCAAATCGTAACTTTTGGTCCATTCTTTCCTTATAAACCATGCATCCCTGCCCCAATTCCTGCGGGGTGGGCAGTAGAGAGCAACAGTTTAAAAGAGGGAATTAGGCGTACCAAGAATGAAATAGCTGGATCTGCTTCTTTTACTTCACCGTGATTTAATTCTAGTGAATGAATGCCAACCCAACAAATCCTTTCCAGTCTAAACACTGGAATATATTGAGGCTTGGAATTAGACAGAAACCGAGAAGAATGGAATTTCACATTTTGAGGAGAAGCCACTGAGGATACTTGTATAGATGCCCTCAGTATGAAGTGGTAGAATTAAAAGAAGAAAAAGAAAAGGAAGGTTCTCTTGATTGGTTTGAAAGGGTATGTTGTATCCTCGGCATGGGTCTGGGCTCTGAACCATTTGTCGCCCTCGCTGCCTAAATGCATGATCTCACCCCTATCGTTGTCCTGCTCTCTGATAGATTGGAACACGCTGATTGTGGGCAAACTGTCCCCATGGATCCAGGCTGATTCCAACGTGGAGAAAGTCCGCAGAAATTCGGAGATGGTGAGCGTATTTGGCAGGTGAAGGGGCGGAAGTTGTGCTTTTGGATCATGGGAACACTTGTGCAGGGAGAGTGTTGAAACAGGGCTGCTCGGAAGATGCCCCTTGCAGAGCTGAATTTCGTCCATCATGGGAACTAACCAAATGCAAACATTCTTGGAAATCATAGACATGCAGAAAACTCAAGCTGCCTTTTACAAGGTCAGACGATTGGTCCTTCTTACCCAATAGTTCCCAACCCTGGGTCCCCAGATGTTCTTGGACTGCAACTCCAAGAAGCCTTCACCACTATCTGTGCTGGTCAGGATTTCTGGGAGCTGTAGTCCAAGAACATCTGGGGACCCAAGGTTGGGAAGGAGAGTCCTAGCCCAAATCTGACTGGCAGGGATTTAGCTCTCCATTCTTACAGGCCGGTGTCTTTCCTGGAGATTCTTGGCGTTCCATCTGAATACGAAGCAGAGCTGGCCCTAATTTTTTAGCCTCCAAAAGTAGACACCGTTTAGGTATATTCAGAGCAGTGGAGGTGATGATCATAAACAGGACGGATGTTCTGGAGATCTGATTAAAGTCTGCGATAGGGTGTCTGTAAATTCTTCACAAAACTTGGATAGGTTCCTTTTTCTGGATTACAACTCCCAGAAGCCAGGGAATTCTGCTTGAAAAAGATCGCCGTCACTCAGAATTGACTTGAAGGCCCACAATGATGAATAAGTTGGAAATGACTTGATGACACATAAAGAAACATATCTGTACCTCTCTGCCCTTTGCAGGCCGTGTTGGAAGAACTGAATTTTGGGGCGTACTTGGGGCTCCCTGCTTTCCTCCTACCCCTGACGCAGGCGGAGAACCCCAACTTGGCACGGGTTTTATGCAACCACATCAATACCGGGCATCATACTTCCATGGTATGTCTAACGAGGGCTTTCCACACGCCCCCGACTCTCCCAAGAAGCACAAAGCATTTGTAGGGCTGTTCCCTTCATTCCGAGGTGATGCTGCATCTCCAGGGCAGTTCCTTCATGGATTCATGCATTTTCCATGGGAAATGCCCCAACGATCGCATGCAGACCTTTGTGTACCGAGAGCAAATTATTTTAAAGGAATGTTGTTAATAAAAAGAAATACAGTACGACCTCTATATCTGCAGGGCATGGGTTCCCAGCCTGATGATGCTGAAAACTGTGAATAATAATAAACACTGTACATTGGATGGTAAAATAAATCCAGGAAAAAATATTTTCACATAAATTACAGAACTGGCCACTAGAGGGTGCAGAGACTATGCTAAGTACATATTCATTTTTTTAAAAAACCAAGAATTCATAGCGCAGTCTCTGGTGCTCTCTAGTGGCTGTTTCTGGTAATACATGTGAAAACATTTTTCCTGTTGTTTTTTTTCTAATTTTAAATAACTTCAGACCGCAGAGACATAAAACTGCAGTTACTGATCCTAGCGGATACGGGGGCCCTACTGTAGTGAAATTGATAAAATGATTTTTTTTCCGCCCCTGATGTTATGAACATCTCAACAACTCATGTCCTGCTTGGGACTTCACCCTTTCTCATCCCAGTTTGGGAACTGCTGGGCTGCCGAGACACTGGTACAAAAATCCTTCAATGTGCTTTGCGCCTCTGGGACTTGACACTGTGGGGCACTGCTCGGTGTCCACGTTTTTCTTCTTCTCTTCCCTTCTTTTCCCGTCCTCTGATCTCAGTTCTGGATGCGGGTTCCGCTGCTGGCCCCCGAAGACTTGCGGGATGATGTGATTGAAAATGAACCCATGCAGGGAATAGAAGAGGAGAGCGCAGGCGAGGAGAAAACCTGGCAGTGGTGAGTGAGGATTCTGAGAAGGGGCAGGAACCCGGGAAGCCTTCCAAGGAGAGACACCAGTTGGAATGTGGAACATCTAACAATCTTGATAGATTGACCAGTAGCTACAGGGAAGAGGTAGAACTTTCAGAGCGGTGTCTCCTGAGATAAGCCTTTGCTGGATTCAACCTAAAGCTTTATAGGAGCAGCGGGATGAATTCTGCCCGCTAGATACAAGAAACCATTTAAGCTAAATATATTCTAGGGCAACTAACCCACCAGATAGTGCTAGATTTCAGCTCCCGTCAAGCTTAGCCAGCCACCACTGGATGAACCTCCTTCACCCACCCCTGGCCTTGGGAGAGTCAACTTCTGGGGGTGACGGGGCCAGAATGGTGGACCCCCCTGTAATTTCCAAGGGGCAACGGTTGGCACCATCATTGGAATCGGTGCTGCTGCAGTTCAAGGGATACAGTTTTCTGCTGCAGTTGCCCTAAAAATTCAGAGAAAACTTTCTCTAGCCCAAAAAAGCACTTCATCGTGGAATGCTGCCTCCCTGCAGGGCAGAGTGTCCTGCCTTTCCACAGCTGATTTTCAGCAATATAGAGTAGGACCCCATAGCTGTTGGATCGGTACGCACTGGTTCACTTGTCCGTGGTGTGAAAATGTTAAAAGTATTTACAAATCCTAGAAATATCTCTTTCTAAATATGAAATTACCAGATCTGGCCGCTAGAGGGAGCCAGAGTCCATGCTATGCGCAGCAAAGAGTGTTTGCTGTAACCCACGTTTTTCGGTACCTGCAGGGAGGGCACCTTGGAACCGATCCGCCAAAGATACCAGGGTCCTACTGTACTTTTGTTGCAGCAGCCTCGCCAATTTCACCTGTGCCATTCAGTGACGGCGACACCACAGAGGCGACGGGACTGGGGGTGGTGATTTATGGGTCACCTGCCCAGATTTATCTCAGGGTAGAAGAGATGGAACCCCCTAAACTTGGCAAAAAAAAAACCCCATTGGTACTCTTTAATGCCAAAGGAACACAGTTCTGCCTGTCCCGTGGAAAGCTGACCATTAACGGCAAGGTCTTCTGCCTTCCCGTGTGACAAAAAACCCACTTCTGGCCTTTGCAGGTGGCATAACTTCCGGACGCTGTGCGACTACAACAAGCGTATCGCTGTGGGTAAGTGCGTGACATCAAAAATGGCCACCCCAGAACAGTGGGAAGGGGTGTGTGTGTGGACAATATGCGTCTCTCAGTTTCCTTTGACCTCCCCCCCCCTTTCTTTTTTTCTTTGCTCTTCTTCCTCAGCCCTGGAGGTGGGGCCCGACTTGCCCTCCAACCACGTCATCGACCGCTGGTTGGGGGAGCCCATCAAGGCAGCCATCCTGCCCACCAGCATCTTCCTGACCAATAAGAAAGGCTTCCCGGTTCTCTCCAAGATGCATCAGCGCCTGATCTTTCGCCTGCTGAAGGTCAGCCTCTCCCTTTCGTTTTTCCCTTTCAAAGCCGTTCCCCATCTGGGACGGTCGGGTCCTGCTGAGCCATCTCAGCATCTTATCCTCTTTCCCAGACGGAGACCCTCAACGCATGGGTTGCGTGCCAGTTGGCTTATCTAGATGAGTCCAGACAAGACGGAAATGCCATAGGTTGGGACACTGATTGTCCTTGCAGACGACGGTGTCCGGATGTCTCTGATGGGGTTGCGTTCCCCCTAATGGGCCAAAGTCTGGAAGCGGTTCTGAATCTTGTGCTTTGTGTGGACTCGTAGATGGTCTCTGTGGCTGGAACAAAATAATATGTGCACACTGTACCAATTCTGCACTATTAGGAGAACCCAATCTATAACAGCTTTGTATTAGCCTCATAGTACTAAACCCACAGTATTAGCCTCACAGTGCGAAGCAACCAACATGAACCTGACACAACTCCAGGAGGCAGTAGAAGCCAGGAGGGCCTGGCGTGCTCACTTGAAGGACAGATCCTGAAGCTGAGGCTCCAGTACTTTGGCCATCTCATGAGAAGAAAAGAGTCCTTGGAAAAAACCTTGATGTTAGGAAGGTGTGATGGCAAGAGGAGAAGGGGACGACCGAGGATGAGATGGCTGGACAGTGTCTGCGAAGCAACCAACATGAACCTGACACAACTCCAGGAGGCAGTAGAAGACAGGAGGGCCTGGCGTGCTCTGGTCCATGGGGTCACGAACAGTCGGACATGACTTGACGACTAACAACAACAACTAAACCATGCATGGACAGGCCGTCTGAATGACGTCTTGCCATCCCAATGTCCTTAGGGACACTTCAGATCAGGTCTGACAGTAAGAATGATCTGTTGGTGAGCCCTGGAGATGGGATCAGCTCTGTAATAGTTCCTCCTTGATAGAATACCTTTCCTAGTTCCATGTTCCTTGCTTTGCTGAAACGTTTCCCAGTATACCCAGAATATCCTGGGAGGGGTTGCCAGAAGCTGGAATCAATGTGATAGCAGACGATGAATTCCTGAAAAGGAACCTTGCAAATGCTGGCCGAAACAATCTTGTACCTTTTGTTTATTTATTGGCCTGTTTCCTCTTGCCTCCATTTCACTTCCCTGCCTGTGCTTTTACATTGCACGTCCTTTGGGGCAGAGACCCGTTCGACCTATTCTTTGCAGAGTGCCAGGAAAAAGAAATGGTGCTCTGAAAATTCCTAGCAATGATGCCCCCCCTCTTTTTTCTTTTTGCCCTTCTCCAGCTTGAGGTCCAGTTCATCATCACAGGCACCCACCACCACCCCGAAAAGGAGTTTTGCTCTTACCTTCAGTACCTGGAATATCTCAGCCAGAACTGCCCACCGCCGTCCGCCTATGAGCTTTTCGCGAAGGGCTATGAGGACTATCTCCAGTCTCCGCTGCAGGTAACCCTTCCTTTCCCAGGTGGTTGCTAAAGCGAGACTCCCCTTCCAGCTGAGGCTACTCCAGACGGGCCTGGGCGGGCTGCTGCTTCTCGCCCTTCCTCCCTCTTCGCTGAACGGTCCTCGAGGTCAAGCCAAACCCAACTTGTGAAAAGAGCCTCGTGATGCAGTGGTTAAAGTGCAGGACTGCGGCCAAGACTCTGCTTGCAACCTGAGTTCGATCCTGGGCTCAAGGTCGCTAGCTCGCCTCAGCCTTTTCCATCCTTCCGAGATCAAAGAACTTTGGGGTGGGGCAGTATGTAGCCTACATCATCATCATCATCATCTATTTATTTATTTATATTGCGCTCTATACCAGAGCGCATTCCAATAAAAACTGTTAAAATACAACAATAACATAATTACAATGATAAAAAACCATACAGTGAGCAATTATTCAATAAGACAACAATCAAAATAACTATAACAACAATATAACAATTGAGATACGGTAATTCTGTCCCAATAATGGCCTGTTTCCATTAAATTGTTAACCACCCAGAGAGCCCTTTGAGTGCTATGGAGTCATATTTAAGCAGCAGACCCTTGGTTTTGAACCCTTGGGAGTAACCGAATCCTGCCATCCATGTGTGTTTGGCAGGTTCCCCGCCACACTTACTGGATTCACTTAATTCTGTTTACTGAGTGTCCTTCCGAGACGGCCTTTCTCCCAACGAGGGGGGGGACCCACGGGGGCTCGGTCCGTTCTCTGCTTCTGGCCCTCTGCCTTTTGCCCCCTCGCTACAAACGGACTCCTCTTCTTGGTGCTTTCTCCTTCTAGCCCTTGATGGACAATTTGGAATCGCAGACGTACGAGGTCTTTGAGAAGGACCCCATCAAGTACTCCCAGTACCAACAGGTGAGCTCGTGTTCCCAAGGGGATGAGACTTTGCTGAGACGGGGTTCGGGCGAGGGGGATGAGCAAACCCGGGAAATCGGGGCCAGTTCTCCCACCCCAAGGCCTGCTGGAGGAGCCACCCACCCCCTCCTCCTGAGTTCGAAACTGGAAGGGACGAGGGTCCCTTGAGCTTTTCGGGGTGTGAGAGTGAACATATAGTATAATGTATATGGTTGTGCATGTGTGTGTGAGCATATACATATTTAAATAACAGGTGTTTATTTTCCATGGGGATGTGCACCTTCTGAAGTTCCTGGATGCTTCAGTTTTATTTCCTTCCTTTCACACGGGGAAGAGGAACACATCCTGCATTCAGGATCTCTAAGGGTCAGGAAGCATCGCGTGGGGTTGCCGCTAATATCTGAGGCAAGGAAAGGCCCTTGGGAGGAGTAAGCATGAGTGAGCAGGTGGTTGAAAATGAAAGGCTGAAGCATGGGGAAGGGTGTGCAAGAATGGCTGTATAAGAAGAATATCTGCTAAGTGAAGATTTGAGGGAGATCCATTACCAGCTAGACGGGGAAGGCCAAGCTGAGTTCCGCAGACGAGACTCCAACCCGTCCTTTTCTTCCCTTCAGGCGATCTACAAGTGCCTGCTAGACCGTGTGCCCGATGAGGAGAAAGAAACAAACGTTCAGTGAGTAGGAATCCCAGCTTTTCATGAGGCTTGTTGGGCGTTGGCCTCGTCCTTGCCACACGATCATCTTGGCCAGGCCGTCTTTCCGTTCAGCTGCTCCTACGGCCCACTTTAGTGGAAAAGAAATGCCGGTCCCTTAGAATAAGCCGGATCCCAAGTTGAAATGGATCTTCCGTCTGCTGACTCCAAAAGACGCTCATGCTCTGAACTCCTAGACTCTCTTGCACGGTCTTTTCCCAGCTGCTCAAGGAAAACAGTAGCACATTTACTGCTAGTTCTTCTAGGGCAGGGGGTTCCCCGACTTTGGGCTCCCCAGAGGCTCAAGGGCTACAACTCCCAGAAATCCAGGGCCATCCCTGTTCATGGTGAAGGCTTCTGGGAGTTGCAGTCCAAGAAAGTCTGGGGGACCCCAGGTGGGAAATCATGGCGCTTAGCGGAGAGTGTGATATTCCACCACTCCCAAGCACCTGAAGAAAAACACATGTTTTAATCAGTCACCTACGTTTTCCTATATTTTGGTCATGTTTTTCTTTTACCCAAACCAAAGCTTTGTTCCAAAAATAATTGGAAAGACAATTCAAGGGGAATGGAGATGTCCTTCTTTTTATAATTACCTCGTTAAGGTGATGGGAGATCCCATTAGGGACCGAGCCTTTTTTTACCCCTCTTCTTCCTCGTTAAGATTTTCCAGCTGCTCTTTTTTATTTATTTATTTATTTTTGCTGGCTTTGTGGAAAATGCTTTGGCTCCCAAGTTTCTCTGGGCCAAAGCCTTCTGGGAACTGGTGGCCCTAAAAGAGATATTTTGCCATCCCATTCCATCATGGCTTTGCCCCAAGGAAGGACCTTTGGGGGGGGAGCAAGGCATGAGTCACGTGACCAGCTGAGGAGCTCCCGGGTTATGCAGAGAGGTGCTTGTGGCAGCCATACTGAAGGTGGAGGGGAAGAGGAGGAGGGTGGAGGCAGTGGCTGTTGGTTCAGGCAGCAGAGAGCTGGGTACGCCTCGGTCCCCTCAAACTGGGCTGCAAGACTTTGCCGTTTTTGCAGCAGCAAATCAATACAGCCACGTCCTTGGAAATCAGTTGGAATAAACTTAATTAAACACAGCGGGATCTACTACTGAGTAGGTATAAGACCAGACTGCATGTACATTGGTGCCTCGCTTGACAATGTTAATTCATTCCAGCGAAATCGCTGTAGAGCAAAAACATCAAGCGAAATAAAAAACCCATTGAAATTCATTGAAAACCGGTTCAGTGCGTTCCAATGGGCTGAATACCTGCTCATCCAACGAAAATCCTCCATAGGATGGCCATTTTCGGTGCCTGTATAGCGAGGAATCCATCCTAGAAAACAGTGGGGGGCCATTTTGAAAGCCAGCGACCATTTTGAAACGGAACCGATCAACGTGAAGCGAAAAAACCCAATCTAAACATCATTTTGCGGTCGCTTTTGCGATCGCAAAAACTTCAACGTTAACCAGATTCGTCGTTAAACGGGGTAATTGGCACGACTGTATTGGTTAAAATGAAGGCACCTCGTTTCTGTTTAACAATAGGCCAGGAGAAGTTGGCTTAACAGGTTTGAAGAAACTTCCTTTATTGCTGACATGCATTAAATACATCAGCATTCATGAAAAAGGAAGGCCTATCTGGATAACCTGAGGCCGACCCTTCTCTTCACTTGCCTCATAACATGGTGCTCCCTGTGTGTTCCATGGTGTTTTCTGAATATGGGGTTATTGCCGCGTTCTTTAGTTTGGTGGCTCCCAACCTTGGCTCAACAGAAGTTCGTGGAATGCAACTCCCAGAAGCCTTCACTACGAGCTGTGGAGGTTGGGATTTATGGGAACTGTAGTCCAAGAACATCTGGGGGACCCAAGGTTGGGAGCTATTCGGTGAACCTCTTTGGAACCGGAAGTGGCGGCGGAAGGTGGAATCCTGGGCACAGAGGTGCCTCAAGACCCCACTCTGGATCCACTGCCACCACCAGCTGCTCTAGATCCACCTGTCAAAGCACCAGCACCGCGTGTGGGGGGGGAGTAACGATCCGGCGATTTGTGGCTTGCGTGCCTGCAGAAAGGGCTCTGCGTGTCACAGGTTCGCCATCGCTGTTCTATTTGGGCGGTGAATTTCAGGGATGTTGCTTTTGGCCTACATTGCCTAGAAAACAAGCTTTTGAAACAGGCCATTGGTTTCATTCCTTTCAGACTTAATAATAGCTTTTTTTTTTTTTTTACCATTCCCAAATCCTCAGGGGGGGGATGGTGCTGGGGGCAGGCCGGGGCCCCCTTGGGAATGCCTCG